GGAAGATGTAAAAGCCTTTACATATTTGGGCAGCATCATTGATGAACAGGGTGGATCTGATGCAGATGTGGTGGCGCGGATCGGAAAAGTAAGAGCAGCATACTTACAATTGAAGAACATCTGGAACTCAAAACAACTCAACCAACACCAAGGTCAGGATTTTCAATACAAATATCAAGACAATTCTGTTGTATGGAGCGGAAACTTGGACAACTACGAAAGCCATCATCCAGAAGATACAAATGTTTATTAACAGTTGTCTACGCAAAATATTTCGGACCTGTTGGCCACACACTTTCAGAAACAACCTATTGTGGGAGAGAACAGACCAGATTGTGGAGGAGAAAGAAATCGGGAAGAAGCATTGTAAGTGGATGGGACACAGATTAAGGAAGGCACCCAACTGTGTCACAATACATGCCATTACATGGAACCCTTAAGGCTAAAGGAGAAGAGGAAAGCCGAAGAATACATTACACCTAGAAACACAGATAGACATGAAAAGAATGAACAAGAATTGAATGGAACTATAAAAGAAGACCCAGGACAGAGTGGGTTGGAGAATGCTGGTCGGCAGCCTATGCTCTATTAGGAGTAACAGGCGTAAGTAAAGTAAGTAAAACATTTGTGGCTGTTTATCTAGCGTTGATCAAAACACTATTTTATGGGGTAGAAGGTATATGTACCACCGACAAACTGGAATAATTTACAAACGTTGAAAAATGCCTGAGACAACTGCTACCTACATAAATTTATCGAGAAATGTAAAGAAAAACAAAGAAAACAATACGGAGGTAACTACAGTCAATAAAAAATCAATATCCGTAAATCTCAATTTCAAATGTGATGACGTCGCATGCACAATCAGCAGGATGCTTAACACTGGATTAGCCAGAACTGACCCGGCAATCAAACTATTAATTCTGTACAAAGTAACATGTTCATTAACCTAATCAAAGGTCGAAAAGCACACCTTTCCTGTTACCGCCAACTGTGTTTATAAATTTACGTGCGCCTGCCAAAGCAGCTACACTGGCCGAACAGAAAGGAGGGTCTATCTTAGATTGTTTCGAGCATGTCCAAGAAAGCCCTAGAACAAGAGAAAGAACAACTTCGAACAGTGAAATTACTAAATGTCTCTTGGGTACAAGACATCAGGTTGATACTGTGCGACTTTTCAAGGTGAATAATTATTAAACAGCTAAGCTCCAGCCTTCAGGAGTTTGCTGAAACCATTGCTATCAGGTGTCAAAAATCTGATTTATGTGTTCTAAAGGAAATGGTTACTAATCTTTCCTTGCCATAGTGACGAATATTCCTTCATTGCATATTGGAAATTTTTTAAAAGTCTTTGTTTCACTGGATTACATCATTACATCCTTATATTACGACTTTCTTCTAGGTTAGTAATCTTATTTTATTAACTTAGCTTTACTCATTTTATTCATATCAGTGTTTACTCTTGTTACAATTAACGTTATAGACTGTACTTTTACATAAGATACATGTTTACAATATTTTATTCAGTGTATTATATTTATGTACACCGGTGCCTATACTATACTGATGTGTCTTCAAAATAACTTCCAACTAAACGCTTCCATATAAGTCATATGAACCCATTTTGTAATTGTGATTTTTAAATATCACAGGTTGTAAGGAGCTGACAAGAACCAAACTAAATAAAGCGAATCTATGTTATTCTGCTCAAACTTTTGTTCTTGCTCTCTTCAACTAATAAAAGTACTAGTTTTGCTCTTATATGAGACAATGAGCAAGCATTACTACCAAGTTCCGAATTCAAACGAAACAAGTGTATTGTATCCTTTGGATGGTGACTGAAATTGAAATCCAGGACGCGCGTTTCGTTCTATTTGGGACTCGTCCACCGGATGTACCTGCATCCCAGAGTTGATGTTCACTTCAGAACTCGAACCCACTACCGTTCGCTGATCGATTACAGTCCTAAACATTAATGGAAAGATTCAAGCAAAAAATAACGAGTGAATTTAAAACTTCACCCCATCGCACAAGCAGGTGGCTATCAGAACTCTATAGCTAATTGGATAATGTGACGGCACTTCAAGCGAATAGTGCTGGGTTCGAGTCCTGGGGTGAACATCAATTCTGAGATGCAGGCACATCCAGCTGACGAGGCCCAAATAGTATGAGACGTGCGTCTTGGACTCCACTACTAGCCACCATTCATCTTTGCTTATAAAGTTTTGCTATTTGTATAGTCCTTCATTCAGCAGGTTAATCATAGTCTAAATAATCTCATTATCACTTCTCAATCTGTAACATACAACAACAGAAATTTGAATCTTACAAGAAGTATCAGTTATCTAAACACTACATATACGCTTTACTAATGAATATCAACTACCTCTAAAATCGTGTTTATAACTTACTATAGACGACGATAAATCATAATTTACACAGTTTGTTGGTGAACGTTTATAATTTGATCTCACTACAATGAAATATATATTTCAATAGTCTACATAGATCATTATATATATATTCAAAGGACACGGGTTCAATATTGAAGAACATAATAATAGTAATAATTTTAATCTATGTAAATAACTATAACTATTGTGAAAAACAAACAAACAAAGAAGAAATCAAATTTGTTTTCTACAATTTTGTCTGATTATTATTTTGATTATTGTCAATGATAAATGTATGTTAATTGATTATTGTCTCAATTAATAAATTATGTTAATCAATTGGACATTACAAGGAAATTGGTATTCTTATCTCTTTTGTAACTCTCTCCCTCTCTCTCCTTATCTCTCTCTCTTTCTCCCTCATTTTTTTTTAAATAGGGGGAACATTTTTTGTTAAAATTACAATGTAAATCTTTTTTTTTCTAATGAATAATGATCATGAAAGTGAATATATGAAAACTGATTAGATTGAATAAATCAGTCATAAAGTAATTGATCCTCGTTTCATGTTAATTGAATCGTCGAAATGTTATCTTTTTTTCCAAAGATATTATGTTTTTTTTTTAAAAAGAAGAGATTTTTTTAAAAGATTTTCCAACTATTCCTTTTTGATGATGACATAACTCTAACTAATTGAAAAATCCTTATAATTAAATACTTTTTCATGAAACATAAAGGAAAGAAAGAGAGTGATAAAGAGACCAACATAACAAAATTTACTTCACAGAAAAAAAATATAAAGAAACTATTGGGAAATCGAAAAATAGAAAAAAACAACCCCCCCTTAAAAAACACAAAAAGGATTTCTAAGAAAAAGGATGATTGAGCTACTGGATAGAAGAAATGAAAATTGAATACTTCAACTTCAGGATTTGGGGAGTAGAAACACATATTGTATAGTTAGTGAATTATTTTCGAGAGAAAAAACAAACAAACAAACCATTGCACTGTAAACAAATATTTTATTTCTATTGGGTTACTAACGGATAGATATCATGTTTATTTGAGAAGAATAAAAAAAACACGTTCGTAAGTAATTAGTTAGTTCACATTATTCTCTAATGTATATTTGGTTTAAATAAACAATCCAAGAGTTTAAAAAGTATATTGAATTCAAGATGTGTATCATTTTAATATTACATCATATATATATATATATAATTTCAAACCTTAATATAGTCGTAGTTTATCAAAACGTTAACAGATAACATAGATCTACATGAAGTGATATTCAATTAGTTATGTAACGGATTGATTTCAAATAACACTATTATTACATTTGTTCAAATAAAATTGAGCTGATTCTATTGAAATATGAAATAAATGTTTTGTATAATGTAATTATTGACTACTTTGAAAAATGTAAACAATTTGATGAATAAATGAAGAAAGAAATCTAAGGAGAGTTTTGTGACGAAAACATTTTCTCTTTTTTTTTTTTAAGGAACAAGGTGTAGATAGGAAGAGTGTTAAAGAAATAAATTGTAAACTGTTATGAGAATGAGATCTTTTTTTGTGCTTTGTTTGTTTTGAAGAGAAGGGGAATTAGGATAAAGGATGTTGTTTTATTCGATTTAATAGAATTTTCATTATTGTTTTTTATCATGTTTACTTCAATTCACCGATATTGGTAGGAACTTGAAATAGAATAGAAAATAAAGCGAATTAATTACTTTAATAAAATTTTTAAAAAAATATTATGAAGCAGATTTGGAAACGTATGGATAAATCAATATATGATAGTTTGCAGTTGTATTTACTTACTGTAGGAGGCTTATTGAGACTGTTCAATTTTATGGATTACATCAAGGATTAGTCTTAGTGAAATATAGTCCCATGATCTTCAGGTCTCATGATGTTACTTATGAAATTCAATGATTTCGATAATCTACTAAAGGAATTAATAATTATATGCTCAGTTTCGAGAGATAATTCAAAACGTCTCACTAAGAATTAGTGACTAATAGAGTTCAAGCATGTCAGATTTGAGGCACTGAGTTACCGATCAATGGTATTGGAAGATAGTTGAACAATATCACAAAACAATTAAAGTTAAGCACGTAAGTCACTAGATACTAACTCAGTTTTCTAAATGTTAGGCACCCATAGATATATTCGAAACCCCTGAGTTTAATCTACAAACGCGATTGTGTATATGTACCACTGATTAATCCAATATTAGCACGAAACAACTGTCTGGTACTTCCTGGCTGTATAAGTGCTAATAATTTCTAATATAATCTATAAACTTATACTTACATTTTGTAGATTTTATCTGTGTACAGTTAAAGTTACAAGTAATTTTAAGAAAATTAATTTATACATTTAAATTTATCCCTCATGAAATATTTAAAATATATCTGTAACCCTAATGAGACTGATGCTTTTATGATGATGGATGCCAACTAGAATGAACCCTGATTTGAAATAAATCTTTCAATGGATATTAAACATGTAACGAGAACATACTGAAAACATAACTCTTTCTTCTATCAATGTTTCATAAAATAATAATGTTAAAAGTTTAGTTATCCAAATTTAAACAGATGTGAATGGTATGTAACTATAAGAAAACAGTTTCTCTCATAGTATCTATACAGATATCTTAGCGTCTAGTTATATGTTAAAAAGGTTATAAGATGAGGAAAACAAGTTACAAATTATAAATTAATGAAAAAAAAACGCTTGTTAAAATAGATAATAATGTAAAATTAAAAAGCTAGAATGACACTAAACGTACCATCCGTAAACCGCCTGGCAATTAATTTTAATATTTCGTCAATAAATATTACTGGTGCGGAGATTTTAACTACCATAAACCATTCTTCCAATGATAATGGAGTGATTTGAAAGACTTTCTGTACATCAAACAAAGTACAAATATAATGGGAAATTAGAAAAAAAACAAAAACAAATTAATTAATTTATTCAATGCAATCCGAAACGAAATTACAATAATGAATTCGATTGTTGAACGGAAAATCATGTTTAATTGGGATTGGATTTGTTTATTAAGATAATTGTGAGATTGGATAGTACTGTGGTGTGAGCTACTTATATCCACATAAGTAGTATATAACGATAGTCAGGAACAGAATGTATTTCAGTAGAAGATCGAGAAGGAAAGAACGGGAACGGAAAGCAATTGGTATGAAAATGAAGGGAAAAATGAAATCTGAGACGATAGACTGATATTTGCAAAAGAAACATTCAAGTTTGAGACAATTGACGATTGACATTTTGCAAATTAAGTCTTTACTGCATAGTTCTCAGGTTTTAGTAAAAAGATATCCGTATGTTGCTGGTGTTTGGTCAGAGATGCATTACCTGCGTATGTCGGGACCATCGATTAAGCAATCCTGAAGTTAGACTCAAGGCATTAGGTTGAGACGGTTAATCGGTTGATGAGTTAATCAATCCTCATTGATTTAGGAGATTGGGAAGTGCGTTACATATAACTTATTTCAACCTACCTCTATTCCCTATATTCGTAAGTACCAAGTGAGACCAAACAGAGACCTAGCTTCAGTTACAGAGTTTTGTGCTGAGACATGTTTGTAGGTAAAAGTTACCTGGTTGGTCTCCTTGCTGGAGACGATGAATGACATAACTCAGGGTTAGTCACAATGTCTCAGATACATTCGTTCTTTGTCTTCCCTTAGATCTTGAGTTTTCGAATTATCTAGTACTTTTTATTCAGCGAATTCATTCTCCCTTCCCGAATCATATTTTCTATGCCTAATATTTTATACTACTATTACTACTACTACTACTACTACTACTACCACTACTACTACCACTACTACTACTACTATTACTACTACTACTACTACTACTACTACCACTACTACTACCACTACTACTACTACTATTACTACTACTACTACTACTACTACTACTACTACTACTACTACCACTACTACTACCACTACTACTACTACTATTACTACTACTACTACTACTACTACCACTACTACTACTACTACTACTACTACTACTACTACTACTACTACTACTACTACTACTACTACTTCATCTACTACGCTGATACTAATGTTCTCACCTAACTGCACTAATGTGGTATGGAAACTAGAAATGATACACATATGTGTTAGGTTCTATGTAGCTTATAATCAATTAACTGGCCTTAAAAATAGTCAACTGTCAAAATGAATATATTCATATCTGTTAACTAACTGATATAAATGATCTTACAAGTATCGTTCTAGACAAACGAGCATACAAAACAGTTTATGTACAGAAATTATTATAATAAAGCTTAACAATATTTTAGCCTCGATTTTAGGTGGAAAACCTGAGAGCAGAAGTTTAAGCGGATCAAGTTGAAGAGAAAACATAAGTAAAAATAGAGAGGAATTGTGACTTGGTAAATTAATACAGAATGTGAAGGACAAATGATGAAATTTTACAAATGAAGTGTTCAATATATGGTTCCTATATTTTAGCAAGAAATTCTGTAATTATGTACTGAACTACATTGGGTTGTCTCCATCTGAAGTGATCACATTGTCTTTCAAATTCTACGACCTATGAGTATTATGCTATCCGGAATGTGAGGCTGGTTGATGAAAGTTCTAATGTTGGAAGGAGAATTGGTTCATTAAGTATCTTATTCCCTGCCAACTAGTAAGAAACCGAAGTCTAGGGTTTCCTTCTGACAATCTCCAACCGCCTAACATTGTACTCCATTCAGAGGCTAAACGTCTAAGGTTTCGCCTTATATGGGTTGGTGAGTTCGCGTTGATTCATTAAGTTGAAATGCCTAGTGCACTTAGATTTCTAATATTTCTCCATTGTGAAATAGAAACTAATGTCGCTATGTATTCTGTTATAATCCAATAAATCACAGTAAACTAAACATTGAATAAAACTTAAACAAATGAAACGTATTTAACTTACTGAGAGAAAGTCAACTTCTAAAATCAAGAAATGCAATGACATACTAACAATCATAGCCAGTACAAGCCAGATATTTACCCATGGAGGCATAGCAACCAGTGATTGATTCTCTGAAAGGCTGTTTGCAAAAAAACAACATCAAACGATGAGAGAAAAGTAAGAAAATCATCATCATTCAGTGTAAGTAACAACACTACTAAACAGTATGAATACATTTAAAACAAAATTTTTTAATTCTCATATAAGCCACAATTTGATTAGATTATATCCAAGAAAATACATTGAAAAGTTTTAGTTCATCCGGCTGACGAGGCCCGAATAGGACGAAACGCACGTCTTGGATTCCACTGATAGCCACCATCCATCTATGCTTATAATGCTTGTGAATTAAGGCAACGCCAATGGGTAAACTAAAATAATAGCCTAACTTTTCTGAAAATATGTATTTGTGTATAAAATATTGTAATAGTCAAAACAATAAGATTCAGTTCATAATGTTGAATTTTCGTTAATGGGATTACTTATATTAACTTTGTACAAGTTTAATTGAATAATTAATTATGCTTGTTAATTAAGTTTAGGTTTTCTACGGTATTGAATAAGTAAAGAATTAAAATGAATTAAGCATGTAATAAAGCTTAAATATGATCATTTAGTTTACGATTAGCTGAGTGAAAAAACCTAAGTAAACTTCTTCACAGTTGATTTTTCCGATATAATTTTAATTCATTTGAATAGGGTCGTCAAATTCCGATGAACGTAATGATTTGTAGTTCATCAAATTCTTGATTAAATTGTCTGGTCAATATAAGGATATATGGATAAAAGTAAAAGCTGTTGAAGGGAAGGGGGTTGCATATGCGACAGACATATTTTTCCTTAAATTTAATATCTTTGTAGATCTAAATTAGTAACCAAAGATTGACTATTTAGTAAACGAATTAAGTAGTATATGTTACGATTACGCAAACATGCTCAGATCATTTACCAGTTACTGATTACGTAAACACATATAGTAAAACCGAATGAAGGGAATAATCAGTGGCTATAATAGCCTTCTTATTATTATAAAGAAGAATTCATCAATGGGTCACAGTTTTGATGGTAGTAAAAAACTAGGTCATTTTAATCTGATTGCCTGCGTGTAGTAACACCCATACTAACTATTACCAAGTTTTAACAATAATTCAAATCATTAAAATCATCTAAATTTTCTAAGCTAATGTTTTAGCTTCCAAATATGATGTCGCAAGACATCACGAGCAGAATAAAAATAACACAGGACTGAACAACTATTTTCTATGATCTATTTTTTTCACATCATTTCAGTCAGGTTTTTGAATACACAGTGTTTAGTACTTCTATTGTAGGCTCAGCTAATTAAGCATTTTGACATAGTTATTAACTAATAACAATCAAATACATGTTGTATTGTTCAATCAAGTGAATTGTCATTATGAAGAAGTTCTTTTCTACTTTATATCCATTGATGACAATCACATTACTCAATGGTTCAATGATAATTTTAAAAGTTAACACTTATTCAGTCGTATCAGAAGGGGTTTTTGTGGATATTATACTAATTTTAATAGTTGAGATCATGAGTCAGTTGAAGCGTTCGCGCACGAGACCGATAGGTCCTGGGTTCGAATCTCGAGAGGCGGGATCGTGGATACGGACTGCTGAGGAGTCCCATAATAGGACGAAAGGATCGTCCAGTACTTTCAGGTTTTCCATGGCGGTCTGGCTTCAGTTGACTCGTAATCTCAACTATTAGGATATTTATTAGTCTTATTTATCTAGAGATTACTTATTAACTACTGATATAACGAAATATGACATTTTCTTTAAATTATGTATCATAAATACCAGATAGTTAGTGAGATAATGAAATCAAGGAAATGATAATTGTCAACAATGACAATATTATTGTTTAACATTTATCTATTCTTAAATGTTATTCATCATATGTCACAAATAATTATGTGATTACAGAGATTATTTCTGAAAGTAACATTTAAAGCTAATAGAGTTTTGTTTGTTTTGTTTGTTTTTGTTTTATTTAATTCACTCTATTTTGATTCAGAAAATTGGTATCCATATTAAAAAGTGTAGTACTGACTTGTTGAATGGTGATCATAACTATTATTTATTTACTTATTTTAACACACAGATATTGGTACAAGGAGGCATCAAATACATATGCGCCACATAAAATCTCATTCGATATGTGTGAGGGCTGTGATACTGCCCGGGTTCCCAAACCGAAGCAGGTGATCATAACTAATATGAAGTGATATCAATGTCCATAGTGTAAATTTATTTTTTTTAAATATTACCATACTTTTTACAAAACCTACTAGTTTTTTGTTACTATCGCATTTTATGCTTCTTTCTGTTATTAGAACTTTAGTATTTTGATTATTTGGACATGTTGTATAAGTTTTCATGAAGCTTTCTAAATCTGTTTTTGTTAAATTGGATCAGTTAACAAATCACTATTCATTCATTCATCAGAAAGAGTTGAATAAATGTGTTAGATATGGAATTTGAAGAACTATTTTATGGAGGATTATTACGCGTATTTTTATTCAGTATTTCGTAAATGGTATTTTTATATTGATCTAATTGTAAACTTTATTTAAAATTATTAACTACTGATATTTCTTTTACTGTTCATAGATTGCAGCGAATTGAACAAGTACCTGTTACTTAGTTTTAGATAGTCTAGATAGGTGAAGCTTTGAGTTATGATATAAACAGAGTAAATCGGCTAGTTTTTCTCATTGCAAGATTAGAGAGGTTACAAAGACTTAGGAAGATTTCTGGGTCATTCAGCATCATTATACTTGGTGCACAAGTTCTTAAAGCAAAGATCAATAGTACCATTTAATGTTAAGCGGACTGATCATTAGTAAATTCAATAAAATTAGTGATGCTAACAGTGTGGCTAAATTCTCAGAGTAAACATATAAAAGGTGAATCCATATTAAATTACTTTTGCTCACAACGACTAACAGACACATTTGTATCCCAATTTAAGGGAAATTTACTTCAATCTCCTTTGACACCTTCATCAATTAGTCTCCTCAAGTTGTACCTGATTTCAGTAAACTTCTTAAAAATCAGATTTTAAAATCACTTTGTTAATTGAAGTTTGAAATAGTAGGATCATAATATTAGTGGAAAATAAAGATATTTTTGAAATATACGTCAAAATATATAAGTATCAGAAAAACACCATACATATACATATATCCCTTTAAACTAGATCAAAATGTTACAATGTATCAGCATGCGTAAATTACACAATAAACTTAAGGAAATAACGCTGTGGATTACTGAGTAGGCCGCCACTATGAATTTCTTTGTAAATAAATGTGTGATCAAATGTGTGTATATTATGTTTAAGAAGCTTCTTTGAAATAAAATACCTACTTGTTCAGCCGAGCAAAGGGGCTTCCATGTTTTAATCTAGTCAAAGAATCTTAGTGGCAGCCTACTACAGTAACTAATAAGGGCTCCACGGTGAATGCATTATACGCCAAACATATATATTCTCATTCTACTAATATGTTTTTGCAGTGTCCAGAATTAAATGTCATATAATCATATTTTCTCAAACATTTATGTAAAGGAACAACAATGTTCTGGTAAGGAATTAACTTATTAATAATTGCATTATCACCCTAGGAGCCCCTTTGTTCAGCATGAAATAGTAGGCAATTGTTTTAAATAACAACAGATAAAACGTTAAGTTACACCGCATGCAAAAATTCATAGAAATAAAATGGTGTTTTTTTTGTGATGAATATGTTTATTTCATTGATTTTTCATTCATTTGAATGATGATGAACATGTGATTTTAGTTCATTGTGCAGTAAAATGTCTATGCAAATGTGTGTATACGTGGACGGCCTACTCACCTGTTCATAGCGTTTAACATTTCAATAAGAACCAGAACAGATAAAGCCATTGTCATAGGCTTTGGATGACTGAAGATAGAACAGTCTACACCCTCAAAACGAGATTCCTGAGCTAGACACTGAGACTGGTGAGTCTAGGTTTAGGAGAAAACAAAGAATTAAAAAATAAAAGAAATTCATCAGTTTATATAACAAAATGCAACATTTTCAGTTGATAACAAAAAGGTACCTGTTCAAGGCGTTAAACATTTCAATGAGCACTAGAACAGATAATGCCATAGTCATTGGTTTGGGATTTTCAAATATGTGACAGTCGATTCCATGGAAGTTATCCTTTTCAGCCAAGCACTGCATATGATGAGTCTATGAATGAAATGATAATCAGTAAAATGAAAATGGAAAATATGTTTTTGAGATATAGGTAAGAACGTTTCCACATTCTGAAATAATAGATCAACTATGGATTTTGGTTTTCTTTGTGCTGGTTATGCTCACTGATTCGACTGAAAGACATACATGTATTAAAAAGCACTGATTTTTTAAAGTTTAGTCAAAACATTGACTAGGAGCATGTCAATATGACCATTTGAAAACCCATCAAAATAGATGTAATGAACCTGAAATATTATTTACTGATAGAAAGTTAGATGAAGTAGATAAATAACTTATTACTAACTTAGTTCTGTCTTCTAGATATATTCGGAACATCAAAGTCTTCAGTAAATAAATAAATCTACTTTCGGTCTATGAACCAGCCTATATATAAATACTTTTCATAAATATCAACGTCGGTAAAGCTTAGGTATAAGGGGAAGCTAGTCAATAACGAGTGAATCGCTTCAAGGTCACGACAAATGTGCTAAAAATATATTTAGTCTATCGAGTATAGATGATTGGCTTGGATGATGATGTCGTTAGGCACTTAAAGTCAGGATTAGGATTTAAACTATCTTGCTAGTAATAATTCAGAATATAAATATGTCAGTCAACTGAAATTATTTCATAGACATCAGGAAGATATCAGAAATATACCTATGAAAAGTTTTTTTCTTTTTTAACTTTATATCCCTCGTTTGTCAAATTCTGTTATTTATTAATTTAAGAACCTATTAGTACAAAGGGCTGCCAAAATTGATAATGTGCCCCACAATAAGAAAATGAGATTGTGAATAGATAAGGGAAGGAAAGTGAGCATAGTAGAAAGAACATTAGATGAATAAAACCAAGTGAATGGAAGTAGAAAATGGAAGAAGCAGTTCATTTAAGAAAACTACGACCAGAAAAACTTCTTTCAATAAGAAAAGTTACTCTGGCTTTCATGAAGAAAGTAAAAGCGATTACAGCAGAAACGCCACTGGCTTCCATTCTGAGCCACTATAATGCATTGTCTCTAGGACTATCATATGTCGGCACTCATAAACTGACTACCACCACGCATTTTCAGGCCAGTCCTAAAATCGGTAAATAATGCAATATGTTGAACTCTTTGGGAGGTAGTTCAAAGCATATATTCAAGTTATCAAAGCTGGTGTTTCAGGGTGACAATGATTGTCGCTGAGTCCGACTACACGTTGCTGGGGCCATAGTTGTTCCTTCCGCATTTGGATGACCTTCCTAGTCCCCTAACACCATCGGTTTTGTTGTATGCTAATGATATCAAGGTATGGAGAGCGTTAAAAAAAGGTGATTGTTTAGGGCATCGAAATGATCTGCAAAATTATCTGAATAATCTAGAATTTGACAGTTGACGATAAGTGTTTCCTTGTACATTTTGGCGCATATTGGTCATCAAAATACAAATACATACATGGTGAATAATATTGAGTTACCTGTAGTACAGACAAAATAATGACCCAGGAGTCGTCGTTAGCTAAGAATTGAAACTACTGTTGTGCGATAACCTTATTGTAAATACGTACAGCCCTCAGTCATGTCGATGCTAAAATCTTTTTAACTTCGTACACAGTGTTCAGTTGTCCTAAAGTCGAGTATTGCATTCAAGTAGCTGGCCCTTGGCTAAAAAAGGCAGTGAGCTGTAGGCAACCAAGTGAATTTATCTAGGTTTTAGTTGATAAATGATTTTTATTGCTAGTAAGGATAAAAAGTTTCTAAACCATATATTTACATGTCGTTAACACTATTAGCTTACTAATTTTGCTATCCTAAGGTCATTGTATATTACTATGTTTGACACAAAGTGGCTACGTTTTCATTTCGATTTCTGTTTAGAATATAATGTTAAACTAAGATTCCTATCTTCTCTATCTTGTATTAATCTCTGAATTAGTAATGCTAAAGTGTTACTGTACATCAGTTACCATGCAACTGAGTAGTTCAAATTAGAACATCTTCATATACGAACAATCTAAATTATAAATTTTTAAAGTTTATCGTTAATCCTAATTTCAATTTATAACAGATTATTATTTTTACTTACTTCAATAAGTAATTTCTATCAGAAGAGGTTTTGTGGAGAGTTTAGTAACTTCAATAGTTGAGATCATGAGTTGATTGAAGCTAGATCACCATGGAAAACCTGGAAGCACTGGACGGCCGTCTCGTCCTAGCATGAGACTCCTCAGCAATGTGCATCCACGACCCTCTTCTGATAATAATCATCTGCTCATTATTGACTGACTTCAAGAGACATTTTCTGGAGTTCTAGTGAGAAGCCGTAACCAGTGGAGTTCAACCAGGTCTGGCGCAACTTCGTGGATTAGTTTAAGTTAGACATTAACACCGTTGAATGCCGGCTCAGTGGTCTAATGATTAAGCGCTTGCGCGCGACACTGACAGGTCCTGGGTTCGAATCTCGCGGGGAGCGGGGTCGTGGATGCGCACTGCTGAGGAGTCCTATACTAGAACGAAATGGCCATCAAGTGCTTCCAGGTTTCTTATAGTGGTCTAGTTTCAATTGACTCATAGTTTCAATCAGTTTGTTTTATCATTTACCTTGGATCGATATTTTGGAAGAAGATATAAAATGTACTTTTAAGTTAATAAAACAAAATAACTGAATATATCCATTTCTTTGAAGATATTTATACATTGTTTATTTAAATGAAAATGTCAATTATTAAAATCACTGAAAGAATAGTAAGAATCTGATTACCTTTATAAGAGAAATCTAATGAAATCTATGTATGTGTTTAGTATGTTAAATAGTATTTTTGTTTTCGGTTAATTAAAATAAATAAATATATTGATGTAAAATATATTTTTTGCCAACCTGACCTTCAATAAAATGTCAATCATCATAATAAATTAATTGTGATTACCTCTTCTTCTATGGTTGGATAACAGATCGGCGCTAATTTATAGAAAATATTGATGTGAATGTAAATTTCCATTATATTTGTGATATTTCGTTTATAAGATGATATTTAACAACATAAAGTTTTGTGATAAATACTTTTTGATATTGACAATTCAAATTCTTATTCTCAAAAGAGCTCCGTCTTCAACAATTTACACCTAGAATCTTTAGGCTTTGAGGTAAGAGAGTTGCTATTAGACTGTTAGGTTGAAAACTATAGTCCACTTTTCCAGCTTTGGTTGACTTGTGAAATAGTTCGAGGACTATCAGTGTCACCAGTGAAATATTTCTGATTTCTCACTTCTCAAAGTTAACTTCTAGTGAATTACGTAAGACATTTAAGTGCTGGAAACAGTCTCTTTCAGGGTTTTAAATATTCACTGTTGAGGAATTTCAAATTAGAATGAAGTATTTGCTGGGAGTTTCCAGATGTTTACTGGTTATCTAGTTAGTAATAATTTTTCACAAAACATATCTTCATATTAGACTAATTTCCGCAAACGTTTTAACTATGCATCAAAACGTTATCCTTTCACACGGTGTTTTGATTCATTCTAGTCTTATTTCTTGTTGTTGTGTATAGGTAGGGGAATATTAGCAACCAGAATTAAAAAACGGTAACTGATGTGTTTCTAACTCCTCTGACACTAATTATTTCCTTATTTATAAATAAACTATTGAATAATTAATGAATCAGAATAAAATAGAGTTTCACTTCCATTGCTGAACTTTTTACAATTCGAAATTTGTATAAAATATCATGTTATGAAATGTGTAAATGGATAAGTACTACAGAATGCGTTATCGTGATTCACGAGAAACGTTTGTTTACCTTTCCTCACTAATCAGTTTGTGTTAGTGCTTTACCATGGTCTATAAGTAAGTTGCTGATTTGTTGGTTAATTTTAGTGTTAACTTTTTACCCATGAGCAAAAAGTGTTTATAATTATAAAGATATTTATATTTATCAAATTAAAGCTAAAAGGAAAGATGACTACTGTTTTAACTGAATGAATAACTTCCACTCAACTTTACAGGAATTAATAACTTTAAGGTGTAATGGTAAATAGACTGAAGTAAACAAAAAAAACGTCTAATTAAAAAGAAAACGTAGAGGCTTAACGTTTTGGTTAGTATTTCTGTCCTCATATTTCCTTAAAAAACATAAGAATTTTTTATTTATAGTCATTTCTTATTACACTTACCAACTGATAGTAATTCAATTGTGGTCCTTTAGGATAAAGACTGAACCACCAAGCAGCTGCACCAACTGTTGCACATCCAACGTAAACACCAATTGCAACATAACGGAAAAATAACCAACCAGAAATTAAAGGGTCTTTAATATTTCGTGGTGGACGTTCCATAATATCTAAATCAGGTGGATTAAATCCCAAAGCTGTAGCTGGTAAACCATCAGTGACTAAATTGACCCAAAGTAGTTGTACTGGAATCAGTGCTTCAGGTAGACCCAATGCAGCAGTCAAAAAGATACTGACAACTATAATAAAGAAAAAAATAATTAGTGTTATACATTTTGAATTACTAGTGTGATATATTAAAAAGAAATTTGTCCTAATATTTGGTAATGTTAATAAATTGATCACATAATAGATGTACTAATAATATAAAGCATCTATAGGGAATTTTTCTGAATAAAACTGCTCAAATTATCATAGGTTTTAAGCAGTTCCGCATAAATGAAGATCGATAAACTATATATTAAATTAGATTAAATGTGAAAAGCAGTTACGTTTTTCGAGGGAATGAGATACAAATATTAATCGATAATTTTCGACAAAATATTAAGTTTTATCATCCATTTACTTTAAGGGTTACCTATCCACATACACGGGATTTTGATGTGCTATGTACTTAAACTAATAAAACTGAAAGATACTAGATACATTAATTTTCAGTTTGGGGTTGTGGAGATTGCTGAATTTCATGTAAATCATAAACCGATCAATGTTAGACCACTATTAAAAACCTTGTAGCATTGAATGACTATCTCATCCTGGTATGAGACTCCTAAGCAGTGAGTATCCACGATCCCTCGTACGGGATCGCACGCGAGACCGAAGGCCCTGGGCTTGAGCCTTATGTGCGCGACTGCAGATGCGCACTACTGAGGAGTCTTATATTTGGGCGAAACGGTCGTTCAGTGCTTCCAGGTTTTCAATGGTGATCTAACATTTATAAGGTCATAATTTAAATGAAATACATTAAGAGTCTGAGAGTTCAAAATGTAATGTCACCGCCTATAGTATTTATCAGTTTATACATACATCTGATCAAGCATAGATGATAAGAACATATCGGTCTATGCAGATAAAGATATTTGGACATATTTAAAGATAGTTACAGGATTAAGTCAAACCATACAATTACTCCTGGTTATCAACAGACTTCCAATTTCCACCATTGTTATGCATGATCGTAGCAGCTAGACTGTGATCATAGAAATGATCTGAATACATCTTTCGAGCCCATCGAAACTTCATTCCAAAGCCAATCACAGCTTTAGTGATTTGAAAATTTAAATCCTTTTTATTTATCTAAAAAATAAATTTTTATCACATCAAACACATCATTTTAACACTAAGTTATTTGTACTATTATTTCCAATTTATGGAATTTTATTATCATATTGACCTTTGAAATTCGATCTCACATGATCACTTTTCGTTTCCAGTTCTCCCCTATATTTAGTTCCTTATTGCTTATGCATGATTGCATAACTTGTACAAATGTATTACAACGTTAAATATTAACTACTTATTACTAGATTATGAATCTATTTAAATGTTATTATAACACATGACAGTTAAATTGAACCACTTTTACTGATCTAAAGATCTCCTACACAATATTCCAATACAAAGAATGTTTAAACGAACAATTTTTACCAATAGCTTAGTCATCAGAACCGATAATTATGAATACAGATTTACTGCATTACACTGGCCAAATTAAATTTGATAATTTTATTTATGATAAAATGATGAGCTTTCGTGGATGACATTAAAGTGACTGTAGTTTTCTCCTTACCCCTGACAATAAGTTTTGAGTGTATGACCATCAGTATGTAGAAAAATAGAGATTGGTTTGAATGTTACCGAAATATATCTTCAATATGTTTAAGTGGACATTTCTCGTCAATTCTAAAAAGCTATTTCACTTTGTAAAACAAATTATTTCTGATTGTAACCATGTTCGAACTTAAATGTGAACTAATGATAGAGTGATTAAGAGAGCTCATTGCTATTAAAATGGTAATCATTTCATAAACTCTTGAGGACAGTTTTTAAGAAAACAAATGGATAAGAGTATAAAGTTGTTCATTAATGCAATGCTGGGTGTGAATAATAAATTTATATGACAGCTGTTTTAATGTTATTCAACTTTTGCATTGGCTATGGCTTTTAAATAGTTCCAAAATATGTCGTTTTTGCAGTTCGAAACAATATTTAAGAGAGGGTAAGAAAATTCATTTCCTAATCAACTGTTGTCTAAGCCAGATAAATAACAGTCAGTACGGAAAAAAATAATTAAATGAAAGTAATGTGAAATGATCCTATCCTAAACTACTATCAGCAACAGCCTTCTTTGGGAGAGAATAAACTAGCTTCCAGTTGAAAAGGAAATTTCGGAAAAGACGATGGAGGTGAATAGGACATAAATTACGGAAATCAGGACGAAACAAGCCTTAACTTTAAATCCTGAAGGGAAACGAAAAAGAGGAAGGTCAAAGAATACACTGCGTCGAGAATAAGAAGCAGACATGAGAAGAATGGATAGCAACTGCAAAAAAGTGGAAAGGATTGCCCATAACAGAGTTGTTTATAAACATTTAGTATCTAAACTATGAAATTCGATGAATTAGATATATAAGTTTTAGAGACATTTATGAACTGATTTGGATAGTAAGTACTGATATCAGCAAAATCTAGATTTGTAATTCTTCCCATTAGACTTTAACCTCTATTCGCTTATTATATGTTAATTGAACCATTATTTAGAAATAAAGTCTTATCTAATTTCATCAAAATAAAATCAACTAACCTTCACCAATATTTGATGAAATTAAATAACGAATAAATTGTTTCATGTTATTATAAATAGCACGTCCTTCTTCAACAGCCAAAACAATAGAATTGAAATTATCATCAGCTAATACCATATCAGCTGCTGATTTAGCTACAGCTGTACCACTTCCCATAGCAATGCCAATTTCTGCTTTTTTCAATGCTGGTGCATCATTTACACCATCACCGGTCTGTTAGTAATATGGTTATAATTAATTGATTTTTGTTTTGTTATATTAGAAAAGGAAGGGAAAGCAAATAGTAGATGAGTAAAGATACAGTGTTTTTGATATAAATGAAATTTTTTATTACACAATGAGGTAATATTATTTTAGCAGTGCGCATCCACGATCCCACCTCTCAAGATTCAAACCCAGGACCTATCGGTCTCGTGCGCAAACGCTTAACCTCTAGATCACTGAGCCAGCGTCCAACGGTATTAATGTCTAACTTCAACTAATCCACGAAATTGGGTTCGAATCTCACGAGGTGGGATCGTGGAGGCGTACTGTTAAGGAGTACCACAATAGGACGAAACGGCCATTCAGTGTTCCAGGTTTTCCATAATGGTCTAGCTTCAATTGACTCATGATCTCAACTATTAAAATTATTATAATTTCCACAAAACCCCTCCTGATACTAATATTATTTTAATTTATAGTGAAAAGTGAAATTTAAATAAATTCCATTGAACTATCAAGATAAAATAAGTATAAATCAAATATAGAATGCTATCAATGTATATAAGACAATTATAATTGATCTGAACATGATGATTTAAAAAGTTAAATTGTCTATAGAATATGACGTTGATTAGATCTCATCTTTAGATATTCAAAAGTTTTGACAATATCTACTTGGTGATTAGATCACAATGTCCAATGTGCTCATTTAATCTTAACCTGATCTAATTAATCCAAGCTGTTTCATATTTCGCGTGTGTTGTTCTCTGTTCATTTAGATCGAATGATATAATTTTGATCAACTTCAGCATTCTTTTTTGTTTTTCATTGTAATTTCACTTTAGTTTAATGCATTTTTTTCTCTAATAAATATGCTATTTGTAGTCATCAAAATGATTTTTCACAGACATTAAGTTGCATAAATCTTATTCAAAATGTTGTCCATTTATAACAATATTTTTTCCTTTCTCTGTCTTCATATCACAAAACATCGCTAAAAGTCTAGAAGCGTTAGTTAACTCATCCCTTTCACAATTTTAAAGTGTTAAATCGTCTCATTGTAGCCTCCTTATCATAATAGTGTATTTAGATAACAAAAAAGAACATTCTAGGAACCTAGATTTTATGGATGTGGTGTATGCTAATTATATTGACATAAGTAGTATATGATGTTAGTCGTGAATAGAAGGTCTGGCAGCAGAGAGACAAGAGGATCGAACAGTAAGGAATGGAAACTAAATGCAATTTGTATGAAAAAGGAAGAACAATGAAGTCTGAGTCATTTTGAGGCAATCGATGGACATTTTGCAAATTAAGCATTTACTTTATGATTGTTAGATTCTATTAACATGTCCTGTAATTTTGTGTTAAACACATTCGATTGTCCACACTGGTGTTCTTGTTCACTACATGGGTATGGTCAATTACTTCTCATGAAATGACGATTCTAAGTTCTCAGCTTACATATTTTTCGGGATTGATCACATACAATGAAATAAATATTGTGAAAGTATACATACTCTGAAGATAGTTGAGTTATTTACTACCACTGTTTACGATACGAACTATGTCATAATCATACACAATCTATAAAACACCAATTTATTAGAAGATATTGAAACGAGATAAATCGGATATCCAAACTTCCAGTAATAACAAGTACAAATATCGTAAAAATGTAATCGACAGTAATGTCGAAAAGTTGATAATTCTGTAAATTTACTTTCATATAGTTTTGTAAATTAACTAAAAGAAAGTTTAACGTCTAATAACAACTAGTAATTGTTGAACAGTAGGTGGTTAGTGTAATTCAACATCTTAATGATGATCTAGATCTTAATGTAATATTTATGGGGTTCAAGGTATAGTATGCACATAAATACATAAATCCATCAGTTGATTGAATTGGAAATAATATCAAATGAAAATACGTTGCGATATTTTATCAGTGTACATTATTTCTAGATCCTTCAACAACTTAAAGGAAGTTTTCATACAGAACTTAAAAACATAACTAACACTTGATTTAAAAGTAATTTTATGAAAATAATACACATGATATATTTACCATAGCAGATACTTCACCATCTTCTTGAAGAAATTCTACAATTTTACTTTTATGCATAGGTTCAACACGTGCAAATAATCTTGCTCGTCTACATGCTTCTCTTTGTTCTTCAATTGGTAATGCATCAAATTCACGTCCTGTAAAAGATTTCCCCGTAGTTGGTTCATCTTCACCGAAAATACCAATACGTCGACAAATAGCTTCAGCTGTTGCTTTATTATCACCAGTTATCATAATAACACGTATACCAGATTTACGACATCTTGCTATACTGTCAAATACTTCCATACGTGGTGGATCCAACATACCGACAACTCCAACAAATGTTAAATTTTGCTAAATGTAAAGAAAATTATAGTATAAAATTGATTCATTCTGAAACCATTATCATATCTTTTTTTAAAACAATTAGTCCCTTTGATAGATTTCGATCATGCAATGAGAAGAAGTAGTTTATCAGAATTATGTGATATATTTGCGCAATACATTTCGAACAATCTGATCACACATATACTTGTTAACAACATTTATATATGAAAAATTAAAAGGTCAGTTAGACAGGTTAACGGTAAGCCGTGACAAAGGAAAAATATTAAAGTACACAAAAACAAATGTGATTACCACTCTGGATAGTAAATCAGTACTACCAGGGTAGGTTAAGTGTAAGCACAAATTGTTTTTGAACACATAAAGGGGGTTTCAATTTTCGTATAGCCAAGGCTTCAATAAACCTTAGTATAGGTCCTTGAAGGCTTTTGTACAACACAACAAATGCTGATTTGATATCAACCATATGACCCGTCTCAATCAAATGTTTCGCAATGGATGATGATGTCTGCCATCCTGTGATCTTATTTCACCATTGGAATTCATCTGCTTCTGCAACCATTTTGGTATATGTTCACCCACCCTTAATTGCAAATCACGATTGCTCTTCCCTACGTACGTGTTTCCACACATACATGTAAATTTATAGACACAATGGGATGTGACACAATCGTTTTCGTGCTGTTTGGGCTTTTGGTGAAACATAGACCTTGTCTTTTCGATAATAACAAGTTGGGCTTATTTATATTAAAGTGAAATTTGAATACTAATTAAATGTTTGTGTAATCAAGCAGTATAACAAAAGTAATTCATGAATAATACAACTGAATAAATATATAATGATCTATAGGTTAAATTTTCAATGTCACTTACTAAGTTGAAAGGTTAGAACATTATTTCACTTAAGGAATATTGTTGAATGGACTACTATTTGAGAATTGAATCTAATCAATCTAATAATTTGACAACAGTATAGATTTAAGGTGTCGTGTACTACACTTGAATATGCTACGAGGTAGGGAGAGATTTTATATCTCATTGAAGTGATTATTTATATAGTTTGATACTTTAGAAGATCAGTTACCTCCATTCTCTCGATTTTTTGGTATGGATATCTCATACTTCATCCTAAAACCTGATAGGTTGAGAAACAATTTAGTTAATCCTACTGACTTAATTTAAACATTATGTTCAGATTAACAGCTGTTAACCAATTACCTTTGATCGGACAGCTTAATCATGATAGATCTTACCCCGTTTTTTTACATTGATTCGTGTCAACTTAAAGTCAATAGATTGTGGATTATTAACAATCGTATAATTAGTCATATAACTTACTTCATATTTAACAAATTTAGTCGAATCTTCCAAATCCATCTGTGCTTTGTTCACTGGCGCATCACACGTTGCTAAAGCTAAACATCTTAGCGTATCACGACCAGTTCCATAAGATGCTACATGTTTCACTATTTCAGCTTTCAATGCAGGTGTCATGGGTACTTTCTTATTGCCTATACGTACAAATGTGCACCGATCCAATACACCTTCAGGCGCACCTTTAACAAACATTCTAGGTCCTGTCTCTCCGGAACCTGCAGTAGCTGGGACTTTGGATGAAAACGCTGGTTTAGCTTGCAAGTAAACAGACATTGATTTACGATCACGTGAAAATTCTAGAGTGAACTCTTTGTTCCACATGGCCTGAAATGGTTTTAAACGTAAAAACGATATATAAGAAATATCGTAAATAAATAACCTGTTTACATAAGTAAGTGCAAAATACATTTGAAAACTTGAAGAGTAACCCCACGCATTTGGGAATAGTTAAACGTTTCCAATTTCTAAGTTCGACTTTGACTATTTCATATGTGAATAGGTAATTGGAATGCAATAGTTTGCACTGAAAAGGGGATGTGCTTATCCATCCAACTTCAAACTAAAATCACATCTAATAACAAATCATTCAATGAACAATTGAAATGAAAAAGTCACATTTACCTCACTCTATTTATGACATTTAGGTAAACTGTATTATGTTTAGTACATATGACGAGAGTTTCAAATTATATTTCAATAAAACTTTACTGTACTGAAAATGTATTCTGTTTATTCAGAGTCCCATTTTTGATAATTAATTTATTTCTCAGGCCTTAATGACTGTAATGACATCTTTTAAGTAACACTATGATTGAATTTGAATAATATCCTTTCAATTTATTTCAAATAGACGGATCGAGGACTTGAGCTTGTTCTTGCCAGTTGGATGAACCTAAATTCGTGTTGATTTTGATACAAGGATTTAAACCTAGTACCGTTCACCTTAATCATTTAACGTTCTATTCGCTGAAATAGTGAGCTGAGATAGCCACTAGCTTGTACCACACAGATTCTTATTATGAATTTAACGTTTTCTTAGTCATAAGTCGTTGTTGGTTTGTTGTTGAAAGTGCATATGTAGTGACAGTACCGGATTTGGTGTAAAATTTCAAGCTTTCTTGTTTACTTATTTAATCTCAGTTGTGGATAAATAATCGATCCATTTATTGTATTTGGCTTCTGAATTTTCTATGCTTCTCACCACTGAAGTGGTTATTCAATACTATTAATTCATACGGATCAGCTGATTGATATTAGGAAAATAACATTGCTTTAGAAGTGATTAAACTATTATTCTTCCGAGATACCAGTGAATTCATTCTAGTTATCAGTTAGAAAATCAGTTTGCTTTCTATGGAACTGGAAATCATATTATACTAATCTGAGTTATGGTAATTTGTAATGGTTTAGATTATCCTGTTTTTTTTTGATATTTCGACTGAAATTTGACCAGTCATGATTGGTATATGTGCATTAAGTGCTTATGGCTTCAATATAACCAATAAGTTACAAGTTCACATATAGTGGACAGGATATAGCTAACAGTGGAACATCAACTCTGGGAATCAAGTACACCCTGCTGGTGAGTCCCGAATGAGACGAAACGACTGTCCTGGATTCTATTGTTAGTCACATTCTGTCTATTCTATATAAGTTGCGATAGGTTTTTTTTGCCAGAATCTAATAACCTCATCGTTACCACTTATCTATTATCTGACATGATTAGTAACAATTTATCATTCATTGTTCCAATGCATATAATACAACGTATACTTACAAATCATGGGTAGAGGTTTTTAACAGATTGTCAATTATTTGTTATATGTATTGTACAAAATGTATTTTACCGATGAATGACATTCAGTTTTAGTTTTCAAAAATGTTATTAAATAACTACTTTACATTTAATTGTCTTAATCTGGTAATCGTAAGTATTTAGTGCTTAGTTAATGTTGTTTTGCAAAACTTGATTTACCAATGATTTATTATTCATAATATATTATTATTGAAGCATTTCAATAAAGTTCATTAATTATATTCATCTTAAAGAGATGAAATCATATACAATGTGATGACACTTTTAAATGAATGCAATTTACAGTAGAATTGTCATTATTAAATAGGGTATAGCTTGTAACAAACCGTAAACTTGATTTATGCTTGTTTATTATATATTTTTTAAGAAAAGAAATCACTTTAGGACGTGAATGTAGATGGTTTCGTAAAGCTATTTGTCTTTTTTGTTGTTGTAAGAAACTGAGAATAACCGAGTCAAATTAATAGGGTTAAGGGGGGGGGTAAGAAGACAGTAGGTCCTTGAAAACGTTGAATATAGATCGTGCTATACCATGAACTGACTGAAATAAGAGTGTTAATCTATACAGTTCTGATTGATTGATTTTAATATACATCAAAGAACTCAAAAATTCAAGCTCATTTAGGATCTTAAACTAAAACGAAACAGTTTTTCAGTGCTCCATGCTTCTTTATGATACGAAGTACGAAGTACACCCCATACTAAAGTAACAGTAACTGTTGATTGGTCAAATTCTATTTTATTAATGTGAATGAATTGAATATACATCTGTTCCAAGGTTAATCCCACCACAATGAAGTTTGAACAAAAGAAATCCATCTTAAAAAGAATTCTCTTCAAGAAAACATTGACAAATAAGTAAAATGCAGTAAATTAACAGTAAAAAAAAACAACGGAAATTTCGGTTAGAATATACCTGAATTTGATGATTGCAAGCCATACTTAAATCTTTCTTGGATAATCCAGATTTTGAAGTTTTGTAAACATTCATCTTTTCAACCAAACAACATAATGCAGTTTCTGTCGCTTCACCAACTTTTTCATAAACATGTTTAGATTCATTATAATCAATAGCTGAATCATTGCACATGGCACAAATATTTGCAATTTCAACAAGCCCATCATATTCACCAGATTCAACTTTTTGACCATTTAAAAATCTACATGAATACAAAATTAATGATAAATCAAATAATAGTTAAAGTGTGATTTTGCGATTATAGAGACATTACTTACAAGTCATGTAACTGTTACTGAGAATAAAACTGTGAAAGATCTAAATAAAGTTGATTAACTTCATTTATTCTTAATTAGTATTTTGGAAATTCAACTCAGGACCTTGAGGTCCCGAAGCAAGAGCCTAACCTTTAGACTACTCATCCGGTATCCAATAGTTTTACAGACAATTTTACGACAGCCCAACCGTATTCTATTTTCTTTAGTGAGCAATTGCCTTGTCACCGTTGAATTCCACCAGTTCCGGCTTACTTTTATAACATTGACCTTCATTATACAGTTATCATTTTGATTGCAAAGTCTAAAGCAAAAGTTTAATCACTTGATATATTTAAATGAAATATTGCGACAGATATATAATGTATTTTAAAAGCTATATGAAATGATTATAATTTCAGAAAAAACTGTAAGTTTGGGCGGTAAAGACAAATAGCCCTAAGTACATATATTTAGTTTTAAGTACATATATGATGAGCACATATAATACTTAGTAATCTAGTACGGAGCTGAAACTTGAAGAACTACTACAACCATCATCAAGAAGGTACAAGTATTTATAAATAGCTGTCTACGCAAGATACTCAACATCCATTGGCCGGATACCACGTACTGTGGGAGAGAACAAACTAGCTTCCAGATGAAGAGGAAATTAGAAAAAGACGATGGAAATGGATAGAACATACATTATGGAAATCATCAAAGTGCATCACGAGCAAGCCCTAACTTGGAATCCTGAAGGGAAACCTGAGAGAGGAAGGCCAAAGAACATATGACGTTGGGAAATAGAAGTAGATATGAAAAGGATGAATAACAACTGGAAAGAGCTGGAAAGGATTGCCTAGGACAGGGTTGGATGGAGAATGCTGGTGAGTGGCCTATGCTCCTTCATGAGGAGTAACAGGAGTAAGTAATTAAGTAAGTAAGCAAGTAACCTAGATCAAAACAGAGATGTGGACTTTCAAGTCGGATAATCAATGGTTAAATAAATAACGTTGTAATCAGCTGTTTACATCAGGAATCTAATTTAGTGCGGTTTTGTGTATAAAATATAAAATGACAGTTCTTTTCGTGATGCTTCATGGTGTATGATCTGATATGATTATGATAAACCAAAGAAAAACTTGATATCTTCTGAATTATCGGCCAACTAAATTGGATTCATTTAGAAGAAACTATTTTATTTTTTATATAAATTACTTATCAGAATAATTTATGAAGAAAAACGATGGTCCTAGTGCATGTTTCTAGTAACATTTCAACTAATCATTCTGAATAATGGATCATGTTAATTATTATTTGTAGAATGATATATTATTTGATCAGGCAATTCTTGTCTCAGTACCATTAATCAAATTGGTGGATCAACGCATTTACGAAAAATACATGGTGACTGATCATGTACATTGAGTATTGTATTGTACTCTTACATTCTGTTTCCTGGTAGTTGAACTATAGTGGTGATAAATAAAGCTATGTTGAACAAATGACATACTTTTCATTATTATCTCATTTATTTATTCATACGTAAATTATAATCACGTGAATATAGTACATCAATTAAAGCATTAATATTCTTCACATACACAAAGATTAATACTAGTGGACAGTGCCGTTAAGTAATAGTAGTTGTTTTCTTGTCATTATTGAATTGGAGATCTGTTCTAACGTGTAATTCATAAGTGAAAAGGACTGGAGAGATGTGTTCATTGTGTTTCCCTGTTTCATGGTGTTAACATTTACCCAAAAGTCTGGGATTCAGTTTCCAGTACTTTCCGTTCTAGCTCAACCTATCATTTTGTTGCAAACGTAAACTGTTGAAGTCAATCAGCACTTGTTCATGACTTCATGTATCAAACACACACATATATGATAACTATAATGGAATGCTAAGTAACCTATCGTGAAGATTTGAACAGATACATGATTATCGTTTAGTCAAACATAAACAGCACCCTACACTTCAATAATTTTTTAATGGTTCCATATATGTTAGTAATAAATGTTAAATATTATCTACAGTATAAGATAAAGTTTTATCAATTCCTTTCCTAATAATCATCTTATTTTGTTACAAATCACAGGATTTTTTTAAATCCTCATTGCTAAAACTATAGACTACAAGTGACTGATCTCTTTCGACATTCGTATATTTTGTGAGGAATTGCTTCGAAATTGTCATTTAGTCACATGTTTTAATTGTCGTTAATAGTGCAGCCCAGGATGAACGTTTCATTCTATTTGAGACTCATCCTGGATTCGACTGTAAGCTACTATTCTAACTTTAAAACATTTAACATATTTTGAAATTCACTTTCTCTAAAAGACGAAATGAATCTTTTGTGTTATCATAAATAATTTGAGAAATAAAGTAACCTCCCATAAAAATTTGTAACTTACACTTCACCTTCTGGTGCATATTTAGATCCAGTTATTTCAAAGTGATGCACTTCTGGTGCTTTATCATCAGCTTTAGAAAAGATGAACATTCTGCATACACTCATTTGATTTGTAGTCAGTGTACCTGTTTTATCGGAGCAAATAACACTTGTACAACCCAATGTTTCAACCGATGGAAGTGAACGGACAATAGCATTTTTAGCAGCCATTCTACGTGTGCCCAATGCTAAGCACGTTGTAATCACAGCTGGCAAACCTTCAGGAATAGCAGCAACAGCTAAGGCGACAGCAATTTTAAAATAATAAATAGCACCTTTTAGCCAAGAACCACCATGTGCTGGATCATTGAAATGTCCGATATTAATTGCCCATACAGCGACACAAATAATTGAAATAACCTAATTATTTCAAAAAGTGAACAATACGAAGTAAAATTTTTGAAATTGAAGGGTCATGAATAGTTCACTGGGTTAGTTCCCGTCAATCGAACAAGCAACGTGACTAAAAAGAAGCGTAATGAGATGTCCAGTTGCTGAAAATAACTGCTAAAATTCCTTAAAATACTATGTTATATTGAGTCTGTTAGTATTCTTCATCAAGAAGTACGCACAAGTTTAAACAAACTGTCAGATAATGAAATTTGGTTATGTTGTTGAAGGTGTACACCAGAATTGTTGGGTCTAAACATCATGCTAGCTGGTACACACCAACAAGCTTTATTTATTCTTAGCAAACACTTGATGTTCCCTGAAGTGTTCTCATCACGATCACTTTGAGTTGCAGTTAAAAGTGTTGCCACTTAGATATTTGGGTGGAGATTAACCTAATAATTTATGTAGTAGAAATAAACCGGATATTTATTTGATTGGTTATTGCAAATACTCAGTATTGATTCAAGCATTGAACTGAATACGATCCCATCTCAAACATTATGTTTAAATATTCTGTCTCACATCTTAAAGTATAGTTAGCTTTGCTTGATAGATCACAACCTTTATTCATTGTATGTAATTCATTTCCAAATCTTGAATGGACATTGCTGTTATGTCACAAGCTTGAATAAGGTAGCTATCCAATACTGTCCAGCTAACAATAGTTGTTCAGTTGATAAAATCTATGAGGAAAATTTTTCTTCGATTCATAGTAAGTCAAAGGATGTACACAACTGAAAAGTTCCATATGAGGATGAAACAGCTGTCTTGTTTTTCCTAGTTTTTAACATTTGTCTAACCAATGTCAGTCAATAGAATGTTAGTTCATTAGAAATTTCATGCAGATTATTTAATCGATTGTTCATTGTTTATAAATGATGTAATCTGCTTTAGTCGATGATTCACCTTGACTGAAAACAAAATCTATCGTCTATTTTAAAGAAAATAATTTGTAGCTAGTCGATCATTCGTCCCAGTGGTGAAAAACCATTTGGACAAAATCAATAAGATGTACTAAGTAACCTGTTCAGAAAACAAATTAACCACTATAAAGGTTATTAAAATGTACTTTATTTTTTAAAGTATTTTTCAAGATTATCTTTGATAATTCAGACCCGTAAATTATTTCCAGCCTTATATTCTTATCTTAACCATTGATTATTGTGCGGTCTCATCTGATAATAAAAGTCTCGAATCAATTTATGATTCAATCTTTTCTATCCCTCTATAGACATATATTTTCTATATAACTATAAATACGAATGTACAGCTTAAGTAAACGATTTCGTCGAAAAGAAAGTTTTCTTCAGTGAGTTCTCTTTATTATTTTTATTCAATGTCACAATGGGTTATTTTAATTATTTTCAAGATGTATTCAGTTAATATTACTGACTGATTAATGCAACAGTACTATGAATATTAGTCGTTAGACACTTAATTTCAAATGGTAATTAAATTATTCTGCGTTTATGTTACAATTTCAGCTGCATAGTCATATTAATTTTGTACACAACTTGAAGACAAGTAAATAAAATTGTGTGTATTTACTGAGTAAATTTGACTTAAATCACAATGATATTTTAGTAGTTTGAATCACGAACTAATCTTAGGTAGACCACCATTAAAAACATGGAAATATTGAACAGCTGTTTCTTCCCGATATGCCAATGCACACTACACAAAGGATAGCACCCAAGGCTTTCAGTCACGTGAGGAAGTACTTAACCTCTATACTACTGAGATGAGATTTAATGGTGTACATGTCTAACTTCATTCAATTCACAATATTGCGCAGACGAATGTCCTGGGGCTTGATTCTTCTTGGCGAGATCGTGCATAATCATTACTGAGAAGTCCCATATCAGGACGAAAAAGCTATCCGATTCTTCAGTGTTTTAAGTGGTGGTCTATCTAAGATCGATTCGCAATCTAAGCTGTGAAAATTCTTTATTCTTCATAAATCCTTCAACAGCGTTAACGACTTATTTCTTAACCACAAATTGGGAATAAGAAACCAGAAGAAAAGTATTTAAGAAGAACTAAAGATTTAAAAGTAATAGAATTGAGTGAGATAGGATGAAATCAAGAAGTCATCGTTGAAAAAGATATGTATTGGATCATACATACAAATTCCAGCACTAAGTAAATTGAACCAAGCAACTCTATTCTATTGTATGTAAATAATTCCGACTACAAATTTTTAACCTAACCAATTTCATTAAACAAAAAATTCAGGAAGTCTACGCAAATTCACACATTGTTAGTGATCAACGCGGATCTGTTACATATTATATTGATTTGGTCATTCACAAACTTTCGCTTCCTATACGCATGACTTATATTTTGACATCGAAGCGTATAACAATGTCGAAGTCATAGTGCAATTGCAAATGCGATAGAAGTAAGTAGTAAAAATATATTAATATACAGCGACCAAGTGAATATAATTAAAATGAGATTTCATCTAATCAACAGTGTTTATAGTGAAGACTTATGAGCCTATGGTTGAACTGATTGTCTGACCAGTGGGTTATCATGCTTTTAAAGATCTATAATGCTATGCACACCTACAACATTTGTATTCAGTATCAGGTATTAACATGTATACAATGTACATGTATGTAACACATCTACACTTGTCTACACATAAAAATATACACACGCGTAGTTCTTTTCTTGAATAAATACACATATACTGAAAATCTACCGAATGTTGCCTAGTATTTATTCATTTTTTTTCAGACAAAAGAAAAAGAGCAAATCCTATACGGAAAATCTAATAGGAGAATGAGAGTGAGAGAGAATAGAGGAGGTGTATTTTTTCCATCAATCAAATCTAATCACCAATTCATAATATCTATTAACCAATCAGAATAAGTAGATTAGGTGAAATTGGGATTATCAGATGAAATCAATATTCTTAAAAGTATGAATACTATCAGAAATTATCTCATATAAATTTATGTTCCACTTTTTTTCGCAAAAATTCATACTAGTATTTTCAATAGTTGAGATCATGAGTCAATTGAAGCTAGACCACTATGGAAAACCTTGAAGCACCGGAAGGTCGCTTCGTCCCATTTCGGGACTCCTCAGCAGTACATATCTACGACACCGCCTCGCGGGATTCGAACCCCGGACCTATCAGTCATATTAGTATCCTTAAAATTATTAGGTTTTTTCTTAGTGACTTTATCATTCACTGTTGTACATAATGACTGTTTTCATTTATGCGTACACATATACCTTATAGTTAAATTTTATTCATGCAGTAGTTCGATAGAAAGGGAGAAATTTCAATCATTAAACAAAGAAATTAAGGATCCTATAATGTATACAATACAGATAAGTTTGGTAACAGTTAGACATGAATTCTAACTAACTTATACATAAATGCTCATCACACACTAAAACTCCTCTACACGTGCACACTTAAATAATATAGGATGTACAAGTGTTAAAAAAACTTTCAACTATTCCGTACGCATTATAAATTGAGTTAACAGAAAGCGAAAAAGATTATTTTCATCATCAGCTGATATTAATTGGATTGTTGGTGAAAATCAATTAGAGTAATGAGTGAATGTTTTTGTTGAAGTCTAAGGGATCGTTAGTCTGTCAGTCAGCTATGACCTACAACCAGGCCCACATCGGTTCAGGTTGCCATAACTCATTAGCATAATAAGATGAACATCAAATTCATAGAAGTAGTTACTTCAGTGGTAGTTATATATAAAAAATAGCGTGTAAGATTATGATACAGGGAGAAAAATTAGTTCGTCGAAGGAAAGGTATAAAGTAATTTTAGTCTTACGGTTTAAGAGTTTAAACAATCATTGTAAATTAAACAAGAATGATTAATGGTTATTCCACTGCCTGATATGATGTTTATTTTCATCGGAATGATTAGTTTCCAGCATGAAATTCCAACACTGCTATGTGTATTAATTTCAATTTATGGTTTTTCTTCACCGGTCACTCTGAGTTGGCCGTAGTATTCCGGCCATTTTCCAATCTTAAGCAAGTGTACACTATCCAGTGTCGCCAGACAATTTTTCCTCTACTTGGTGGGTGGGTGAAGCATATAAGAGTGTAATTTTCACCAGAAGTTTCATTTTGAGAGTCTGGGATTATCAACAACCATATATTGTTAGAACGTTAGAGTAGATCATTCTAATATACTAAATGAAAACACAGACATAATGAGGTTCATGGTTTTCAATAAAATTTCTAGTGAAAATGACATTCTTATATGCTGCGCCCATCTTTATACATTCAATCGAATCGCTTGGTATATGGTTATAGACTGACTAATATTAACTTCAAGAAAAGTTGTTCCATGTCATTCAGCTATTCAACTAACTAGTAAACTTAAGAATGTGTGTAAACACTCATTTCGTACCATCATTCCTCAAATATCTATACCGAAAAATGTTTGGATTGGTGACCTAACGACAAACTGTATAGTGCCTTATACTCTTAGGACTGACTGTTATATGTAAATCAGAGTTCAACCGCGTATAACCTGCATAAATGAACGGTAGACGACAGTCTTTAATAATCATTATGGTAGTAATACTACTACTACCACTATTATTATTATTATTACTATTTTTATTACTACTACTACTAATAATAATAGGATCACATTTTTCCCAATTTCCTCTTACATATCTATGAAAGTTAAAACGTTTTTAGGCTTGTGAAAACAAAAAGAATTATGGTGGTTAGGCGTCTATAATACCATTATTCCTGGACTTGATTAAGTTGGTATTAAGACAATGACATTGTTTACTGACAATAATTAATAGTATTGTTTTATTTGGCAAGTTGGCGTGGATTTGGGAGTATCGAGTTTCCGTCGAGTGGATTCATATACTTTACATCCACTGTCAGGTTTCAAGATTATAGATTCAAGCTCTTTTAGTGCAGCCGGTGTAGCATCCCCTGACATATAACTACCTAGATCTAGAAGGTATCTAGTAGAATTGAGTTTTCAATGTTTTGCCAGATGACATCAGTTTCTGATAAGTATCACTTTCTCAATTCTTATTCATTCATATTGTCATACAACATGGCATAAAAAAGAAAAAAAAGCATCGAGAGAAGGATAAAAACTTAGAGATAATATCATGAACAATGAATGAATCGACTTAACAACAGATTCAAACTGAAGACAATTACCAGTCTAAATATAATTTTAGATCATATCCTTGTTATTAAATATCATTAATCACTGGTTCCCATTACTTCAACTATTTCTAATCAGTAAATTTCCCTTCATCAATAAATTGATTTTTACAGTGCTGTATATTATTGATAAATTGGTTAACATTTGAAAATATAATTTATCCAATGTATTGTTTCACTATAGGTTAATATGCACTTAACACATATGTTCAAATCTATAAATGATAGATATTGAGATTTTCATTTTAATAATCAGATCACATGTTACATTGAATTGTTCACAAGTGCTTCTATAACACTAGTGATAAATGTGTTGCTTAGTATAATAAATTTTTAAAATCAATAAAAGCGAAATAAATAAAAATCTATAAAATAATAATAATAATAATAGTAATAATGTTGAATTTGTAATTTTTTTAGACGCAATCTGAACCCCATTTTAAACAATAATGTTAAAATGAATAAAAAGTATTGAAAAAAAAATCAAAATGGAACCAAATTGAATTATTGAAATGAAAACTGATCCGATTTAAGTGTGTTCTATCTTTTGTTGCTAAAATGAAATTGATTTTTTTTAATAAAAAAAGAAAAACGACCAGTTTAAGTAAACAGTATAACTCTTCCCTGTGTCACTTCTAGGACTACTGCCTATTCCAAGCTCAAGTAAAGTAGGAGGGTTAGGAATGCGGTTAGCAATCTCAGGACAAAATTGGATGAAGAATGCTAGTAAGCGGCCTATGTTCCTCCAAGAGGGGTAATAGGCGTAAATAAGTGGGTAAGTAAGTAGATAATATATTTTAATGTACTGAATTGAATAATATTCAATAAACAGACTACTAAAAGTTTAATTTGATTAGATAAAAAAAATTTAATCATGTTGCTTTGTTTTGTTTCAAACAATGAAACAGTTTAATTTTGTGGTAAAAACAAAATTTTAGTCCGTTTAAAGATGATTGACTGAATATGAAGCTGAGAGATAATGGAAATCAATAAAGTTAAGCTATTTAGTCAAATTAATTCTAGTTTATATTATCATGTTAAAATGATCTTATAAGCTTACTCAGTAATACAATAATCTAATGAAGTGTATAAGATGGTTGAATAAAATATTTGTCATTTAGACCCATCATTTTGAGAATTTAACGATTTCAATAAAAGGAAGAGAATCGATACATTTCGTACAAAAATCAGTCAGTGTACATTAAATTGTATTCAATATTTGTTTAATTTCAGATCAAAGAAATACACTCATATTCATCATTGAAATGGAAAAGAACAATTAATTGTTACATCAATCTACCATCAGAATACAGTAATGATATTGTAGTGAACGAGAACACAAAGAGGGATAATCGAATGTAGTTAAACACTAAATTACAGAATATCTTAGTAAAATCTGAGAACCATACAGTAGATAATTTATTTGCAAAATGTCAATCAAGTGTCTCAGACTTTGTTGTTGTTTCGTTTCCACACCAATTATTCTTTGTTACTGTCCTCTTTTCTTTGATCTTCTTAACCTTCTGTCGTCAGATATTTCACTTTCGATTAATGACACATACTACATATATCTATCGACATTAGTAGCACATATCACAATATTAATCTGTATAATATGGGGCTAGTATATATAAATGAGGATTCTTATAATAATAAGAAACTTCTTGATACTCTATGGCTTTTGGTGTCTTTTAATTTATCAACTGATAATAATATTTTCTTTCAGGTTGTTTAATTTATCACGTTCACAAATGTACAATGAGAAGGTGATATTAATTTACAAATTCTAAATTTATTAACATTTTTTAATCAAATAAATATTTATTATTCTGGGCGATCTGTATCTTGATCCGATAAATTTAAAATGTTCCATGGAATAGTATTGATTGATGTCAACACTTTATCTTGAAACAGTATTAAGATTGACTTTTCAATGTGCTCACTGGTGACTAGCTTTGTGAGGGAATTGTCGGAGTTCTAGTGAGAAACCGTGACCAGTGGAGCTAATCCATGTGAGGTAGAGACATGACGACATGTATATGAATTTTTTCTTAGTGGAAAACTAAATCTAATTATGAGTAAGTGAACAGGATTCGACCAGACAGAAACAAATGAATTTTATAAATTATTAGATCAGAATGTTAAATTGTAATAAATTATAGAGAAGAGAGAGAGACAAGAAGTAACGTATCACTAAAACGAAAACAGTAAGATGAAAATAAGAATATAAGGGGTTAAATAAGAAAAATATTTATGTAGACTGAGACCATGGGAATGAAAGCTTTGTTATAAACTTATTTTGTACACATAGTTTTAGCTAGAAATTACATACAGCTAAAACTTGTGCAAGCTACGTTATGTCACTTGTCTGCTTAACTCAGTTTTTTAGTAATCTGTGTTTGGTAATAGTTGATCAGAGTTGCTGAACAGATGAACTTAGACCTTGATATCATGCTATTTATAACTCTTCGAACACTGAGTTCTACAGAAGATTGGTCACTGATTGGATATCTAATTGATGACATCTCTATCTGTGCTATTGGGCATTAGTTTTCCTCAAGTTACAAGATACACACTAACGACAAGAATAAAGTAGCAGAAAATCTAGGTTTCTTGATGATTACCCCAACTACTATTGACTTTGAATAACTGTCATAGTATCAAGACTAATGAAACTGCAATAAAATAGAAGAAAATATATAATTTATGTTTTTAAAAAAAATATCCAAACAATAAATCACTTACTTTTGATAACTGTTGTCCAAATTCATCTAATTTTTGTTGTAATGGTGTTTTATCTGGTTCTGTATCCATCATTTGATTACGAATTTTACCAATTTCAGTCATAAGACCAGTACAAACTACTATACCTCTTGCTTTACCAGCTGCAATATTAGTTCCACTAAATAAAATATTCTTTTTATCTTGATTAACCGCTCTTGGATCTGGTACAGCTTCAGTGAATTTAATTACAGATACAGATTCACCAGTTAAAATGGATTGATCCACTCTTAATGTTGTACTCATAATTTTTATTATTCTCATATCAGCCGGTACTTTATCACCAACTATATAGGAAAATAAACAAAATTAATGTGTAAAAAGAAAGCGGTCAGGTTGTTTCTTAATTCTTTTCTAATTACTATAAACCATGTTAAGTATTTACAAATTTCACTAGTTGAAACCAAGAGTCAATCGAAGCTAGACCACCATGGAAAACCTGAAAGCACTGGACGGCCGTCTCGTCCTAGTATGAGACTCCTCAGCAATGTGCATCCACGACCCTCTTCTGATAATAATCATCTGCTCATTATTGACTGACTTCAAGAGACATTTTCCGGAGTTCTAGTGAGAAGCTGTGACCACTGAAGTTCAACCAGGTCTGTTATAAGATATCAATTCACTGAAGACAATGGTGTACGGTGGCACAATTTAGTGGATTGGTTGAAGTTAGACATTTCTAAAATCTCCACAAAATTCCTTCTGATATTTATAAATTCGTCGAGATAAGAAGTTTGTAGAGATTGTTCCTTTTAATAGATGGTTAATAATATTGATTATATTTCGGTACACAACTCATTGAAAATGAAAATTATCAGATAAGTTTTACTTCTCTTATAATCCCATTAAGAATTAAACTAAGAACATTCAGAGGTTGAGACAAAAGCTTTTAATTCAGACTATTGAACTAACATCTAATGATTTGAATCAACATTTATTTTATTTATTTAACATATAAAACTGGTTGAATGAATATCTTTTACAATTGAAAACTATATGATTTCAAATAGATATATATTAATAAGCAAATGGTGATTTGAATTGTACTACTGATTTGTTTCTACTAAACTACATGGATTAATTTTAATGAATAACAGAAGCCTTTGTGTTCTTTTTTTTCAATTTGGTCGAATAGAATGCATGTACCATTTCTGGAATTTAATGTAAATTTTGATTAAGGCACCGTCTGGCTAGTAATACTTGACAACATTTAAAAAAAATATTGATATCTAAGGTATAATTTGATGCAGACACTTTAAATGTAATCAATTGAAGCTTAGCATTAGATAGAATAATGTTAGTCATTCATTAGTTGTCATTTCATTCATCTTTACTTTCGATGAACTATTCTGTTAAAATAGATATCTGAGATAAGGTAAATACGACTAATGAAGGATAACTAGACATTCAAAATATACCTCATTGATCAAACGGTTGATTAGAATAATATATAAGACTAAAAATAATACTTTCAATTAAGAGATTTTATTAGAAACTAGTAAACTAGTTGATGATTTAAATGTTCACTGAAACAAATCGTTCAAATATAATTTGTTTATACCTAGCAACCTTATAAATAATCTATGAGACTAGTTCATGATCCAGACAGTGAAAACAAGATCAGTTTCACCTTGATAATACAAATAATTATTTTTACCGGTATTCATTAATAGTTCAAAGTCAATATCATTGAATTACAACATATTTACTGTTTAATCTATTATTAAAAATTGTGTTGCGCTTCTTAGGCCATAGAACAACAACTTTAAGTAATTTAATTTTAATCAGAGATGAGTTTTGTGGATATCATAGTCATTTAACAGTTGAATTCATGAGTCAGTTGAAGCTAGACCATCATGGAAAACCTAGAAGCACTGGATAGTCTTTTCATCTTAGTATAGAACTACTCAACAGTACGCATCCACAATCCTTCCTCTCAAGATCCAATGGTGTTCAGTTAGCTAGATGATTAATTAATGTTTGAAGGTGTAAAAATAAATATTTGACACGAATCCGTCAAAAAAATAAAACACAACAATATTTCGAATAGCTATTTTGAAACGTTTAGACATTGTGTATAAAATTAAATCTAGAACCTTGAAACTCGTAACATTAGTAATTAACTCTCATCAATACGAATAATTTTTGTAACTATCCCCGTATTTCACATTTTTTAGTTCATGGTATAATAGAACTTCTATCCTTCTTTTACGTTCTTATTTGTTACAGGTTGGGTTCATCAGTGTTTGGAAGGATGGAATATACTTTTGTTTTTCGTGTTTATTGTAATTAAGTATGATTATTGAGTCTCTTAGCCGAGTGAATAACATAACAATCAGTAATAATCAAGCATGTATATTTCATAAACATCATACATAACTATATCAATCATTATGAAGTTTTATTGTCATCCGTTAAACAGGTCCTTTAGACATTCTTGTCTAATAATCTAAAATGTATATCTGTAATGAAATTCTGTTCGCTTAACTACAATTCACATTCTCTTTCAGAATAAAATCTGATATAACGAAGCTTATTTTATACTTTATTGTTCTATAATACACCATTTAAGAAGATAAATTCCAATTCACTAATCTCTACATCGTCTTATCTTCTAAAAATTGAATCGAAAACTATACAAAAATACATTTTTGTATTAGTTGTTTGAATCTTCCCATTGATGTTTAGGACTACAATTGATCAGTCAGTTATTGGCATATATACAACCTGTCCATATTGCCTCAATATTGTCTTAAGTCACAAGTTCACCGCTAAGTAAAAATGGTTAGTGCGTGTGCGATAAAGGAATATTATTTTAATGATAAGTCTTTTGAGTGAACGTTTGAATCAGCTTCTTAAGCTCTTCTAATAACGCCAGGTTAAGTCTATACGATGACTTGAACACGAAAGAAAAGGCGCTTTACTGCAAGGTTCATCTATGTACAGAAAATTTAGGGTGTTCATCGAATTTTAGATGGCTTCGGGCTTCCAAAAGCTCTTGGAACGATACTAAACATATTAGAAAGATAAATAATCACGCAATCAGAAATATGACATGTGACGTTTCACTTTCTAGATGTATCTGAGACACTTTTATTGAATGCTGATTGCATAAAATGTTTTCCAACGTTTTCAGAGCATTTCTAGGCTTTCCCTGAGGAATATTCTGGATCTCCCCAACATTAAAACAACACATGTTAATGATAAAGGAAAAATTACTGCATTAATCATGCCGAGTAATATCATGTTGTAAATCATTACTTCTAGTATAACTGAATATCGAATGAAGTAATCAAAACTATTCAAGGTAGTTCCTCATAGCAATCTTATTTTCTTATTTAAAATAATAGCATAAGCTGTGAATCATATACAGAACAAGTACACTTAAAAATTATAACTTACCTGATACTTCAACAATATCACCTGGTACCAATTCTCTGGCTTTAATTCGTTGAATACCATAATGACTTTTTCGAAATACTTTAGCTATCTCCGGTTCATACTCTTTTAATGCTTCAATAGCCGATTCAGCATTACGTTCCTAATGTGGTTTATTTTTTAAAAATGATAGATTTAATCATAGTTGATTTGTTTAACAATGAAATTTCATGTCAACTTTGATAAAGATACTCTGTATCACATTTATTAGTAGTACACTGGAAACTACGAAGCTATACTTTCTTAGATCAGTTGAGTTGATTAAAGATTTTTGTTAGCTGTGAATTTCTTATCAAGATCATGTTATATAACCAAATGATCGACGTACAAAATATTCAACCCTTGAATTCCATCTTAATAAGTGAATCTTAAAATGAGATTTCAGGATATTGGGGTATATTGTGTGAGATTTGTAAATAATGTGCTTTACTGAATGAAAAGAATGTAAAGAAATAGCTATTCAATGTTTTTCAATTTATAATATTTCATCAATGTTGGTTTTCTGAGATGAACTGTCCTTAAATAAATGAGTGGATTAAGTAATCAAGTAGTTCGAATCACAAATTGAACGAAGCTTTAATGTGTGTTCAGTTCAATCCCTTCATTGAATTATGAATGTCATACAATTTACACAAAATTATTACTAATTAGGTTTGAGAGTTTTCTGACCCGAATTACTATATAGTTGTTCCAGCCTTAATTATATATCATATTATGAACTCATACTGTCAGAATTATTATCAGTTATTTTATGTTATTCAACTGACGTTGACTATAGAAATTATATTAAACAGTAATCTATTCAATCATTTCTATACTACTACTATTTCTACTATAAATGTTTAAAACTTACAAATATTACTACTTTTATTACCATTATTACTTTCTTCAAACAGCAAAATATGAAACAAAGTATGAACTTACTTGCCAGACACCAATTACAGCATTAGCGACCAATATAAGCAGAATAACAAGTGGCTCTACAAATGCACTTATACTTTCTTCATTTTCTTCAAATAAAGCAAGTACCTAGAGGAAAATGTAGTTATAAAATGGATAGAAACAATCTTAGAGAGATCTACTACTGATATATTTTAATGTTATTTATAAATATTCATATTTCATTGTTAAGAATTTCATCAATAAATACTGCCATATCTTGAAGATTATATAAACTTTTCTTTTAATAGTATAAAAACCAAATATTTTGTCGAATCAGTCATTCATTCAGTCAGTCAGCTACAGTGTAGGGCCAGGCACATATGTTCATCAGTCCAAGTTGAAATTCCTCATTAGCACAACAAGATGAACATCGAATTCATAAAAGTGGTTGATTCAGTGGTGGTAATATGTAAAAGAAAGATTCCATATAAGGACGTATTACAGGAAGAAAGAATTAGTTCGTAGAAAGAAAGATATGAAGCGATTTTAATCTTATAGTTTAAGGAAAGACAAAGAGTGTATAAACTTACACCATTGTGATCGATTCTGAGCTATGTCACCCAGAGTCTCTAACCATTGGTTGCGATAGTCATAACCTCACCGACTGATTTACCGTCTTACCTGACTATTACTTACCTGGTAATTTTGTCGAATATATGTGAAAAAATCACTTAATTTCATGAATTGTGATTTTTACAGTTCAATTTGATTCTGGCGGTTTTATTGATGTCTTTAAATTTATTCTTGAGCTTTCATTATTAAATATTCTCATTTTGAATAATCACTTAGTAAGTAAAATCCCAGTGTTTATAAATTTTGTAATGTTGGGAATAGTTTCATTTTAACATTCATATTTATGAGAAACATCAGATTTTTAGTTATAATATGTTCTGATTCAAGTCTTCCCTCTTCTTATTCGGTTATAATCTTACTTTGGTCATGCTTATCTTTCAGAATAATAGAAAATTTTATTGAAAAACTATACTGATACCTCGCACTTTATCTATGCGTGAATGAATCGAAACAAAGTTCAGAGTTTGTTAATTAAAACTGATCCTCATAGGTTAGTTAGTTAGTTAAGACAGTTAGAATGTACACCGGATTGTCAAAATGAAGCCTAAATAATTCAGTCCATGTAAATGTGTATTTATGGAATTAAAATTCGATGTTGATATTGTTGTATGGAACAACGGAAAATGAAAAATTCAAGTAACCATTATTTCACAACATTTGTTATGTAATCTAGACGCTTCAACATCAAGGTCTGTGTTCTGTTCAAAGAATGCCAACTTGATGTTACTAGTTATAACGTGTTATAGAATATTTTCAAAGGTATTGCAGTATTTAAAAACTATTCTTATTACATGGACTTGCTGTTAACAGGACCTACGTTTTCTCACATCTAACAAGATATTAGGTATCCAGTGTGAATAATAGAAGGCATAATTCTACTGTGTGATACGGATCATAAGCTTGTATCATATAATATATGGAACATCATGTTGCTGAACAATATTTTTTGTTTGAAGAACTCGATAGGCTACCAGCTAACGAGAGAGTGTGAGTATGGTTAAAACTAGAGGTCTTGATTTCACAGTATTCAATCGATACCAATAATTTACTTGAAGAGTTTTAGTGCAGACTTTTAATTTGTGAATTCTATTTGTCACAGATTGACTGGTGTAGTGCAGATGTTAGAAGTAAAATATTTGTCTACAACTGGACAAGATGGTTGTCGCTTCATGTTTCACATTGGTTAGAGTTAGATTTCTACCACTGGAGGTCTGTTCAGTAGTTCTAGCAACCAAGTGTTTGCCGTGAGATCTGAACGTGCCCGGTACACTCTCCAACTGGGTTATGAGTAAGCACTACTGAGGAATCCATAGTTTCCAGTGGTGCTCGAAATAAAATCACTGTGATTCTAATAATCTTTAACTGTGAGAACCATTATCAAATCACATAGACTTCTATTATGTTACGTCAAATAAAACTTAAAACAAAGGAATTGTAATCTAGTTTAAATGTCTTAGTAAAATATTTGTTTCTTTATTGTTGTGAATGAGAACACAAATGGGGACAATCGAATGTATTTGAACACTAAATTACAGAATATCTTAGTAAAATCCGAGGACCATACAGTAAATACATCATTTGCGAAATATCAATTAGTTGTCTCAAACTTCACTGTCTCTTCATTTCCACAGCAAACATTCCCTGTTCTCGTTCTCTTTCATTCGATTTTCTTAACCTTCTACCACCAGACATTTCACTTTCGATTGACGATACACACTACTCATATATGTTGACATCAGTAGCGCACATCACAATATTAGTTGGAATGATAACCTCCTTACGATATTTTGACTTTCTATTAATAGTTTATGACAAAATACCACTTTAATGTTAATAATTTTCAATCATACAACATTTTATTATTTACTTACAGACAATCATATTCAATATTTTAGACTTTGAATATTGTTGATAGGTTTTCTTAAATCATACAATACCTCTCTTTTTGGTTATGGACAAGTATTTGCAGAGATTCACGATTGTACAGCTTAAGTAAATGATATCGTTTAAAAGAGGAGCGTTTTTCATTGATTTGTCTTAATAGTTGAGATCATGAGTCAATTGAACCTAGACCAAAATGGAAAACTTGCAAGCACTCGACGGTCATTTCATCCTATTGTGGGACACCTAAGAAGTGCGCATCCACGACCCCGCCTCATGGGATCCAAACCCGGGACCTAATGATCTCGCGCGCGAGCACTTGACCACTAGACCACTGACATGGCCGGCATCCAACGGTGTTAATGGTAATGTTGTAGAATATTATTTTACATATGATATAATTATGTAAAACATTTACTTGATCTCTTAAATTTATTTACATCTTTGCTATACTACTATTCTGATGTTTGATCATAATGAATTTCAACTAGATTCATTTATGTAGATATTTTTAATGGACTTCATAATTAGAATTTTTAAATAATTTAGTTGTTAAGCAACTAACAAGACCCTAATGGATTGAAATGAATACATGTTATTCTGTTGAAATTATTCTATTTAATCTTTACTTATTAATTCATTAGATGATAAAAATGAACTTCTATATTCATAAATGAAAAATGGAATTGGAACATCTTAAACTATTCCCTCGCTCTCCACCTACCCCCCCCCCCAAAAAAAACAAAAATAAGAATACTTACGAATGAGATAATTGCGGCCAATAGTAAAATTTTAACAAGTAAATCATCAAACTGTTCAAGGACAAGTTGCCAAATTGCTTTAGCTATAATGAAAGTTTGAAAATAAATTATACAGAATAATTGATAATTTTTTAAATAAGATATTAGTAGATTTTATTTAATTAATTAATTTTATAAATAATGAAGAATATCTTTGACAAAGCACTGGACAGCTTCCGGATTTTCAGTGATGGTCCAGGCTAGATCGACTAGCGATTCCAACTGTGAAAATACTACAATCTTCACAAATTCCCATACTGATAATAATCTTGTGTTCATCAGTGACTACCTTCAACATGCAGCTCCTGGATTTCTAGTAAGAAGCTATGACCAGTGGAATCCAATCCATGTTGAATGTAAAACAGTTAACCATTGAACACAATGGACTAATGATTGCATAAGGTCATGGATCGATTGAAGTTAGACATTAGCACTATTAGATGAGGGCTTAGTGGTCTAGAGGTTAAGCGTTCGTGTGCGAGACCGGTGCTGGGTTAGAGTCCCGCTTGCAGGATTGTGGATGCATACTCTTAAGGAGTCCCATACTAGGACTCAGCGGTCGTTCAGTTCTTATTGATTCTAGCTTAGATTCACTCTTGAATTCAATAGTGAAAAGAAACATAATTTACCCGAAATCATACACGTACACATGAAATATATTGTTGTATTCATTAATAACACCATACTGTTGTAGATTTTCATTAACTAGTACAAATCATCATGTATAACAACTTTTTTAGTTATAAAATCATGAGAATTTAACTCTGTTCAGTTCATACAGTGAGGAGACTTAGTTAAAAATTAAATTAAATTAGTTGTTTCTTGTTTGTATTTCGAATGTCATGAACAATGACAGAACGTATTAATAAACTATACAAATACAAATATTATTTTTTATGAATTCGAATAATTCACCAACAAAATAGATATCTTCATCTAATCACATAGATTAGATTTTATTTGTTCATAAGTTAACGTTCAAATTAATTTAATATTATAAGCAAAGATGAATAATGGCTAGCAGTAGAATCTAGGACATGAGTTTCGTCCTATTTGGGACTCGTCAGCTGGATGCACCTCCATCCTAGAGTTAATGTTCACTCTGAGACTCGAACCCGGTGCCTTTCACTTCAAACGCCATCACATTATCCAATTAGCTACTGAATTCTGATAGTCACATGGTTGTGCAATAGAGTGAAGCTTTAAATTCACTTGGTAGTGTTTCATGTTATTAGTTATGTAATGCTTCTTAAACTGTTATAGTCGATTACTTTACTAAAAAGATACTAACTTATTATTAATATTATTAGTTTGATTTAGAAATATTTATCAAATCTCATTATGTATCGGTATACTAAAATTTAATTGAATAGAAATATTCTACTTACATTCTTCAGCAGGAAGTTCTGAAAAGGAAATTGGAAAAACATATAAAGTATGTTATGAATTGGATAATAATGAAAAAAAATTGTATAAATTCAATGAATTGAACTCATTTCATTTTTCAACAAACAACCGATCCTTCTCTCTCTATTGATTGATCTGCTAATATTAACATTCATTACAATAAAAGCTGAAAATGATTCTAAAGTGATCTTGAAAGGAATTTCACAATGAAAGAAAATACAAAAAAGAATCATATATTTTTTTAAAATAGGAAATATTATTAAGTGAATTGATGAAAGAAAATACACAAGACTTGTAAAGTCATTTGATTTCTCGATTCGATACCGTAAAATATTCTCTAGCTATACTACTAAAATACTAATTAGATACAAGAATTTTTCGCCTTGTCGAATTGAACATGATGTTATTTAGTCATTGGGTTGAGATCCAATTATTTACACTTTATAAATCCAGTTAATTTACTACATATAATAAGCATTATTGAATACTGATAGGATTTTTTGAAATTTACCATTAACCTAGTAACTAGAATGAATCTAATTGTTACTGAGTTAAATGATTTAGAAAGATTAGATTATTTTAATAATTGTAGTTAGAAATTTAATTGTGGAATAGTAAATGTAAGTTTCCTAGAATAACAAACAAGTAAACAAACAAAAACTGTAAAGCTTTTATTTACAGATTTACATGATAAATTCATACTTTTTCATGTAATAATTATTATTAACTTCAGTAGTTGAGATCATGAATCAACTGAAGCTAAACCATCACAGAAAACCTGGAAGCACTGGATGGCCGTTCTGTCCGATTGTAGGACTCCTCAGCAGTACATATTCACGATCCCGCCCAGCGAGATTCGAACCCAGGACCTTCTGGTCTTGCGTGCGAGCACTAGACCACTGAAACGGCTAGCATCCAATGCTGTTATTGTCTAACTTCAACTAATCCACGGAATTTAGTGACACATTCACCATTGTCTTCAGTGAGTTACTATCTCACAATAGACCCGGTTGAACTCAACTGGTCACTGCTTCTCACTAGAACTTTAGGAAATACTTCTTGAAGCCAGTCACTAGTGAGCATATGCTGATTAGTATCAGAAGGGGTATTTTTTTACTAAACCATCTAATTATTAACTCATTTATAAAATAATCAAAAATGCTTCTTTTTTCTTTTTAACATTTCTACAATTATAACTGTTTTTACATAAATTTGTCAGCATAGTATAACATTAGATCTTATGTAATCAGCCTTGAAAAAGTACATTTTTGAAAACATCTGGCGAAATTTTTGGCTATAACTTTTATGAAACCATAGGACTGTTACTGATAACAAGCATTTTTATTCATACGCAATGAAATAATGTGGAAAGTCACAATCGATTATGAAATTATATAATGTGTTCAATTGTAAGACTAAGACTTCAGCTTTAATACATTGTGGCATATTTATAATAAATATATCCCAATATCCCAATAAGTAAAAAAATTGTGTTTTTGACGTTTCGTGATTCAGTTTGAAGTCACTTCTTCAGTTATTTATTTAATCTGAAGAAGTTACTTACATTAAGCCACAAAACGTCAGAAATACAATTTTTCTACTCATTGGAATATAACAAAAGATATATTTGTTATTAACTTTCTACCCAATGCTCAATTTATTTGAAACGATCAAGTTCAACCTTAGCTTTGGTAGCGCATTTATATCTTGAACATTGATAGGTCAACTCAGTAAGTAAAAGTATTATTGAATTAGAACTTATCTATCTGATTAATTCAATCAGTTTTTATCATGTAAAGGATTCGAAATTTCGAAATTAAAATAAACACATACTGTAGTGAACAAGAACACGGGTTGGAAACAACCAACTAGGTTTTAATACAAAATTACAGAGTTCTTTCGTAATGCATGAAAACCATACATTCAATACTTCATTTGCAAATCCTCCATCAATTGTCTCAAACTTTATCGCCCATTCATTGTCATAACAATCAATCGCTGTTGCCGTTCTCTTCAATTCGATCTTCCCAAACTTCTGTTACCTGCCATTCCACTTCTGACTGATGCTACATACTACTTATGTCCGTCGACGTAGGTAGCACACACCACAATACAACATTACCCATCCATGATATAGTGGATGGTATTTTGTAAATAACGAAATATATTTCCTTCATTCTTTACGGTAATCATTGAAGATGAACATTTAAAATATAAAACAGTCTAAATAGTCAAAAAATCATATAAATAAATGTTAACTACCAATAAACTAAAATATTATTATCAGAGAAGTGTATTTTTGTGAATATTATAGTAATTTAATAGTTGAATTTATGATTCAATTGAAGTTAGATCACCATGGAAAACCTGAAAGCACTGAATGGTCGTTTCGTTCTAGTATGGAATTCCTCAACAATACACCGTCCAGTGCTTTCAGATTTTCCATAGATTCATGAATTCAACTATTAAATTAAAATATTATTATTTTGTTAAATAGTCAATATAAGTCAAATTAGATTTGAGTTAATTAATAAATTAAATATATTATTAGATCATATTAGATAATTAATAATATTAATAATAATAGAATATTTACCATTTGGACCAAATTTTGCAGTTTGTTTTTTAACTTGATCATCACTTAAACCAGTTTCTGGATCTGAATCGAAATGATTTAAAACTTCATCAACTGTCTTAGAAAATGCTGTTTCCATAGTTGAATATAATTTTTTTTTTAAAAATATATTTATTTATTTAATACAAGAGAATACTCTTGATTGATTATTCTTTATAATATAATTGAATAATAAAGAAATAATTATGTATTAAATGATAGACAATTTAATGAACTTCAATAATCATTGACATAAAGAAGAAATAGTAAAGTTTTGTTCAAATTGAACTGTTGTTGATGTGGATATAACGACAGTAGTGATTATAAATATACAAAAGGATATAATTGTTGTTTTGTTTTTGTAAAGTGAGAAATAATCTCTCTTTTGTTCATGTTTTCATATTTAGTAATAGAAATATGTGCACATAAAACATGCACACAAATATACACAAATATGTTTAATTGCCCAATCGACATTGAATTGTGCACATAAAGTTGTGTTTTATTCAACTAGTTAACTAACTGATATAAGGAAATAGATGATAAAGAAAGGGAAGTTAACAAATACACCCATTTATAGATATCAGTTTTGCCTGTCTATATATATATATATATATATATATATATATATATATATATATATATATATATATATATATATATTTATATTTATATTTATATATAAATCCTAAGGTTTGCACAAATTCTACTATTGGAAAAAGGACACAAACTGATACACGTATTTTGTTTAAATCAATATGAATACAATTTAAACTGATTATTGGATTTCACATTACATCTTCAGTAGGTGAAGTAGAAGATGTTGTAGTGACTGCATTGATCTGTGTGTGATAGTGTGTACTATAATAGGCATCATTTAGTATCCCATTTAAGACAAATATTCAATACATATTATAGGTGAATACTAAATGTGCATACTTCTACAGAAGAGAATAGGGAGAATACTTGAGAATCTGTACATAATTTATGAGCTTGTGTAAAAGGGAATTATACGGTGTAATTTTAGGAAACGACAAAAATGACAATACTTACATGTTCACATATTCTTTGTTAATAATAAACTGAACTAGGGTAAGTGTTTATATATATATATATATATGTATATATAAAGACCATGTGAACCAGAATCACTGGATGACATAACATTCTTGTACAAAATGGTCAAATTTTACAAAGAAAGAAAAACACCTAATTTATCAAATGATTTTTCTTTCGAAAAGTGTAAAAAATATTATGTAGACCACTGTATAAACTATTGCTTCATGTGTATATATACACATATATATATATATACAACTGTGTGTACAAAATACTTGAGGTCATTTAGGGATAAACTACAAACGTTAAACAATACATGTAAAAAAAATACTACAAATGGATGTGAATAATTTTTTAAACTTTAAGTAGGTCAATGATTAGCCTAAAGGGGTCAAATTTCTTGATTCATTGTCAAATAAATAGAAGTCAAGTTTGAGAATAAAATGATGACACTAGTTAACATCCATGTACTAATTTTTGTAATAAGTATACTTCTAAATCATAATTCTTAGAATGTTAATGGATTAGTTTTTAGTTACGCTGTGCCATTTGAATTTATGAGTTCAAATCCGATTATATACATCACTTTAATGATTAAAATAATGTTTTGGCATAGATTTAGTGTTCTAGTTATCTTTAGTCTTTTAAAAATCTGCACAGTTATTTCTAGATGTTGATGAAATGATTGTAAGTACTTACACAAATTATCAGAAGAGGTGAGTTGTGGATATTATAGTAATTTCAATGACTGGCTCCTTAGCAGTACGTATCCACATATGTTTAATGTAATCATTAAAATGTGTTTAGTATAACCGAATAAATATTGTAGTCTAATTCTACTTGTATAGAGTGTTAGGTTAGTTGCAACTACTAGCAACGAACAAACAATTATTTAGATCGAAGTTTTAAACCATTCTATGACTATTTCGATTTCAATAAATAGTTATCATTACTACCCTTTAGACAATACATCTCACTCTAAGTGAAGTATCACTAATGATAAAAATGTACTCAAATTGATTTTATGAAACAGGAGAATTTTTCAAGTTTGTTAATGAAAATCTCATATTCAAATAAAAAGAAACGATTTTATGCTTCATTGAGAAAAATAAATTATTGACATTATGAAAGTAAGGGTTAATTATATTAACAACTATTTTAAATAAGCCAAACAAACATTCTAATATGACAGTTAACGTTTTACTGACATGTTTACTTAGTAATTTGACATATCTGTTGCTGGCATTTATTAATCAGATTAAGCACATCAAAATTTACTACTCTCTTACATCATCCAGCTGAATATCTTCAATAAAGATCGAATGGTGTGATGTTCATAAGTTATAATTATTTTTCAAAAAATCATTGATTCAATTCTCGAATTTGTTATGATAGAAATTTTTAAGAAATGAATATCGTTCATAGAATTCGGAATTATTGGAACAGTCAGAGATTTTACTTCTGATTAATCTGAACCTAAAATAATCAATATATAACTGATTTACAAATTGTGACTGTATGATTTGGTATAAAAGAATGTAAAGAATAGAATCTGCTGATCGATTTTAAAAATTAATTGAAGTTAAGCGGCCTGCTTGAATATCTGGGCTACCTGTTCCTCCAGTCTAGATATTTCATCGAGTTATCTGTTTTTCTTGTTTGTTTTAGCACATCATTATGTCTATTGTGCTCACAATCTATTCAGGCGCGTTTATGAAAAGTTTACAACCTTTCGCTATACGGGTTACAAAAAGGTACAATCAGCGACATAATGATGGCTGGCAATATGCATTGAAACGAATGAACATTAATCAAATGTGGATTACCGAACTCCTAACATCTAACTGGTCATCATCCAAAATTTATCGTCACAATCGACCAAGATAAAAGAAAAGGAAACTTGTTGAAATACTTTATGCTGAGAATTCTATATTGTACCAAAAATATAATGCTGAATAAAGCTTCTAATAATAATAACTACATCAAGAATCAATAAAGACAATTCAACGAAAAAAAATGTTCTTTACAGCGATGTTATTTATTAAAGTTGTACAATTGTATTTATAGTTAATGACCACAAATAAGTCTATGATAAAATAGATAAATATCGTGTCACGAACTAACATGAGCGGCTAGGTAGAAATCGGGCTAGTCCCCCACTTGGTTTTAAATTTGGATTATCAAAAAGGTGCGTATTGTATAGACAAAAGTGAAATTAACAGCTGGAGGAATAATTTTTCCTTTTCGTGTTTGACTGGATTATCTCTAGGCACGTTTTGGTTCAGATCAAAAAGAACATCGATAAAGTGTGTCGTAACCACTTCTCAAGGGTCGACACTAAACTTGTTTGTGGTACGAATATGATGGAGTGTACCCTCAGTAGACGACTCGCAGCTCAAATGATTTAAATGCTGGCAAATTATTTATTGTTCACTGCTGCTGAGCTATGACCCAGTCGCATCCATACCTATTTGTATACAATGGAGTCCATAGGCCTTAATCTATGCATTCTATATAAGCATGTATCGTATTTTTGTGACCGCGCGCGTCTGTACTTATGTGTTTACTATGAAGTGTATACATCTTTAAGGGTGTGCATAACATATATACATGTAACACATACTTGCAACTGTACCACGTCCCATACTGGTGTATTCGCTATAGATCTCAACGCTATTGGGTTCCTACATAGTTTCCGATTGTGATAAGGAAATATAACCTCACAGGAGTGGACTGCCAATGTATCCGTCTGTTATACACAAATTATATCCAAATCGATGTTCCTACTGCACACGAACCATATCAAAATAAACTGTGAACGTGTCCATTTGCTTTACTTTCTCCAGTGCTCCAGTCTCGTACGTCTTTTCAAAAGCTCTTCTTTTTTCCCGAAAAGTCAATCAGCTTTGCTACTTAGTTGAGCGGATGGTAAAAGATATATAAATATTTTACTGGAGAGAGATAATTGTTCGTTTGACGAATTTATAGTGTAGAATAATTAACTGTTTTAGTAGTGGGTATTTAATAGTGATGACGAAATAATGAATAAGCAGTGGCAATCGGTTACTGAATATGAAAGATAGGAATTGAATTAAAACCATGGGAAAGTTAGTGATTATGTATATTGATTTTGTACATACAGATTAGGCTGGAATTAGTGGGTTGTTGAAACCGCTTAGGGAAATATCAGATCTACACCCATATTCTTTTGAATCACTTAGTTTGACACTATAAATGACATTGAAGAAAGACTCTGGAGGAGTAACGTGACTAGTATTTGCGTGGTGTTCAAATATTGAACTAGTAACTAACTTCGGTATTCCTTTTGAAAACCAAGGAGAATGAAGCCTAGTGACTCATTTCATGAGAGCTTGATTTGTGTGGTGTGTATCTCTCTTCTCAAGAGAAGTTAAACTCATAAGTGCAAGTTCATATAGCCCAAAGCGGAAGCTTATCCTTCATACATCCGCGAATCAAAGAGCGACAGAAGATAATGAGAAATCCAGTAGAACAGAATGTTTTTCTGAAAGATCTAGAAAGTCTATTTTTCAGAAACTCAATTGCTCCATCTCCTTTAAATTATATGTTTACGAAAAGTGTTTTGTTTTGCGGTTTTAGATATTCTTTTACGTTGCTGTTTTGGTTTGAGACCTATCTAAATGAACCTAGGTGATTAACCGTTATTAATTAGTATCTGTTATGGATCGATGTCCATTTTATTTTTCTGGCCATCGGGGATATTAATTAAATCAAGTGGCCCAATGGAGCCCAACTTTAAAAATTTGTGTACGGATAATTTCACTTTGGCTTCCTTTATGCTGATCATTAAGATGAACCATCCGTTCGTGTTTATTAACAGGATATCCAGCAAATGGAATTCTGAGTTTAAAGCTAATTTTTTTTGTAAAATTGTTTAATGACAGCCATTAAACTCTTGACCTGTCTTTTTAACTCGGTCAGATTTTAAAATTAAACATTGTTACACTAGTCATTTTCGCTTAATCTATTTGTGAAATATAATTGCACTCACTTTATAAGCAA